AGTCCGCTAGTGAAGAAGTCGCGTGGTTCCATGCAACGCGCTTCGACAGTCAGTGGTCGCATCCCGCAGATCGAGTATTCCAACTACAAAAGAGGCGGCGACAGCACCGAATCAGACGAGATGCCACCAACAGAGAGCGACAAGGAGAACTGGGAGCCAAACGCGTCCAAAGCGGTACGTCGCGATCGACAAGTTGCTGCTACGCCTCCAGCTTCAAGAGGTGCTCGTCAAATCCTCGGGGAGAACATAGAGTTGATGTCACAAGCATCAAGTCTAGGTGCAATGCTAGCCAAGGAAAGGAGGGGCAGTGGGAAACTGGTCGTTGATCCCGAGCAAGACGATGAACTACGGCAGTTTATGGGCGGCGACAGTGCAAGCGGGCGTTCGAGCATCAATTCAGCTGAAGAAGCTGGTTGTGTCGAGGGTCTGCTGAAGCTGAGCCAGGGCCAGTGGAGGTGATTGTGCAACAGAGCGTGATGCTACTGGCACAAGATATCTTGTTTCTGTTTGTTTGTTTGTTTTTCACTTTGTATTGTCTGCATATAACAGCGCTCATTTTCCTGGTGTTTTGTTTTTCTGGGCCCAATAGGAAGGAAAGAGCGCAAGCTCAGGAATAGGAAAAGACATTAGCCGTATCTGCAATATCTTTCTTGCATGGGATACTGGCGGTTTATTAGCACATAAGAGTAAGTGTATAAGCACACGATTTGAAAATGGGTGGGCTTTTGTCACACTAGCTTTTTCTCGAAATAAAATAAAACATTTGAAATCTTCATAGATTCTGTTCGGTATGTGATGTCTTTTTTCCGTCATCTCCGGAAGATGTCGGTGTCTGCAATCTGGACCGAAGAATAAGCAAAGCAAAACTCTCTACTTTTACAAAGAAAAAAAACGAAAACGTTGATATTTGATTTTTTTTTCAGGAGAAAAGAAAGAAGATAGAAAAAAAGGGGGGAAGAAGGGGGTTGAAGTGTCCATTTTTGCAAGTGTGAGGTGGAAGCGTGGAAAGGAGCGGAGAAGAGAATGGTCATCACGTGAAGAATGGCTCAGATTAGTTGGAAAGAACGACTCAGGTCGAATAGAGAAAAAAGACATGTCACACACATACAGAAATCTAACAATGTGGAAATCAAGTCGCTTGCTATGAATAAAACATGCAAACACACAGAGAGGTGGCACAACAACTAGATAAATACTGTCTAGTTTGTACATTCCTGATTGCACTTGCACACACACAGATAGAGACAACGATAGAGAGATAAGAAATAGAGAGCCCCCCAATAGACCTGACCACCCTTTACATATGAAGTAGCCATGGATTAGAAGATTACAAGGCGATAGAGTGCGATAAAGAAAAGAAAAAACCGGGTATATGCAGGAAGAGGCAGAGCAAGTAGAGGAGCGCATGCAGTCGTACAACAATCAGAGTGTATGGGGGAGGAATGATGCTGGCCAAATCGTCTACTTGGCGCCCGGTGGCAGCTTTACGTTGTTGGAGAGCCATGCCTGAGTCGTGTTAGCAAGATGCCGGGAGATTAAGTGGTGGGTGGAAATTACCAGTCCCTCGAAAATACCCTCGCCTGTTGTCGCACAGCTGGGCTCTACTTTCCATACGTGGTCTTTGGCAATCTTGTCTAATTGTAGAAGATCGGATACTTCCTTGGGTCGCATTGCTGGCTAGGGTTAGCAATTTGTTTCTGGTGATAGTGAATTTCATGTACGCACCTCCGCTCAAGTCCTGCTTGTTGGCGAATACCAGCAACAGTGCGTCCTTCATTTCCCTGTCCTGGATGATGCGAGTGAGTTCGGTCTTTGCCTCCTCGATACGGGCGCGGTCGTTGGAGTCGATGACGAAGATGAGTCCCTGGGTTCCTGTGGCGTCACGTCAGCACGGGTACTCGCATGTCGAGTGCTGCACAGCATCAATCTGGGCAGGGCGACACATGCGCGGCACTGTCGCGTGCGCGCATGTTTACTCGCCTACCCGGAACGGTGCCGTGACGGCCCAACATACCAGAGAAATAATGCCTCCACAGCGGGCGGATCTTGTCTTGGCCGCCGACGTCCCAGACGTTGAACTTGGTATTCTTATATGTGACGGTCTCGACGTTGAAGCCGACAGTGGGGATAGTGGTGACATCTTGGTCAAGCTTGAGCTTGTAAAGGATGGCTGCGAGGTTCTAGTCAGCCGGGTTTGGGCATTGGGCGGACATTGCAGATGCTGCCAACATACTCGTCTTTCCAGCGGCGTCGAGGCCCAGCATCAGCAGCCGCATCTCCTTTGATCCGAAGATCTTGGCCATGGCCTTGGATATGGACGCGCCCATTGTGGCAGCGTGATCGTGGGGATTACGTCGGCAGTGTGCGGGGAGGGGCTTGCCAGGTGGTAAGTAGCCGGTATACGAGGCAGGGAGTGGCGGCGGTGTTGTCGTCTCGGCGGCAGCAGCAGCAGCTGAAGGCGAACGGGAGGGATTGGGTAGGCCGGGGCGCGGGAGACGTGTTTGTGCTTTGCAACGAGGCAGAGCAAGCGGAAGATAAGAGGAAGAGGAAAAGGTGGTGGTGGAAAGAGAAAAACACAAGACTGTACTGGGGACGGCACAAGACGGGACGGGGCGCGAGAGAGAGAGATAGATATGGCGTCGTGGACGCGGGCGTGTGTGTGCCTAAAATGAAGGTTTCAAGCCGGTCAGGAGTGAAACCAGAGGCAAGCAGGCCGCAGATCCCAGAGAGCCTCCAGCCGACGAAACATCCGTGCGCAACCAACGGCCTTGCTCTTGACAGGTCCATCCATTCTCTCTCGCCGCACCACCATCGCCATCTTCAGCGCCCCAAATGCACGCAAAAAGGGGGCCCCGCCCTCTGCTCTGCTTGGGTGCCTGCGTTTGATTGCGACATACTGGGCCCCCGTGTGCGCCGTTCCTGTGTGGCCAGTGTGCCGGCAGATGCAGGTACGCGGCGCTACTCCTGAGATTGCCTATACAGACATGCCGTAGTACATAGACGCACATACAGATATACATATACAATACATATGTACCCCTACTTCAGTACACGCTCCGAACCCACGACCTCTGCCCCACACACGCCAATGGTTTGTCTCCATGCCTGTACGCCTCCAGCAGCCATTCGCTCGCTGCTCTTCACGCCGCGTCAACTCGCCGCTCTGCTTACACGGCCTTGCCGATACACCGGCTTCTTTGTTTCTTTCCCCTTCGTGGCTAGTCGCACAAAGCCTCCATCGTAATGCCTGCGTCTGCTTCAGCCGTTGCGACCCGCTACGCTGCAGTAGCAATGTCGCCCGCTAACCAAAAACACGTCTTATATCATCATGTGCGGCTCCACACGGGAAAGTTATCCAAACAAGCACCTATACCGAAGCTGGGCCATTACCTCATACGCATTAACCTTCGAGCTAACCCTATCGGCTCTATACTAAAACCACGAGGCGTTGCTCAAGACCGCGTCTTCGACATGGACACGCCATGATTCAACAGGCACAATGGCTATTCCATGCATGAATCAATCACCACGCCAGCAACGCCGAGGAGCCTAGCTTAACTCCGGCAGTGTAACAGAAAAAAAAGGCAATTAACAGTGGAACTTGGCGTGGGTCAAGATAAGCAAAGAGTGTTGCGGCTTGGCTATTTTTTATATATATCATGGGTATCGTGTTCCTCCAGGCAAGCATACACCGCTACATTCTGGCAGCTACTCCCTCATTGCTCAGACGGTCCATCGCCACTCAATTGTTTTCTACCCCTTCATTCTGGCAGACTCCTCATCACACCCTCAAACGCCACTAGAGCCATGGCATTGGCCGGAAAGGCACGTAAAAAGCATGGCACAAAGCCGCGCCAGTATCCCCTCCACCCTCCTTCTCTGTACACTGTTTGAGCGGCGTCTCTCCATCGGGGAAACCTCCTATTGTCAAGCGGATCTGTCATGATGCGCTGCTTGATCACATCGCTTGGATAGCTCGTCAACCAAAAAATCTGCGCTGAAAGACCGCCTGCCCAGAAGTTGACTGCAGGCGCTGACAGATTTGTGTGTTTCTGGAATTGTTTAGTGAACAAGTCGTATGTCCCCCACCAAAAACAAAAGAATGTACGGAATAGCAGCGTCGCGCTCAGGCCATGGTACACACCCTTTACGCCATGACCCTTGTATATCTTCTTCAGACAGTCAATTGGTCCAGAATAGAGGCGCGCTGTCTTATCTGCTGCATATTGAACCTGCAGACGGGCTTTGATGTGTTCGACCGGCGCTGCAATAAATGATACTGTCCAACCTGCCATTGTGCCTGCCATGCCATGGGCGTACATGGGGAGCTTGCCTTGCTGCTCGCCAAATCGAACAGACGAGGGTGGATTGAAGACACGATCGTTGAGGACGCGGCGATATACACTGAGAGATCCTAACATACTACGTGCCATTAGCAATCCGTCAAGTTTCAGGTCGAAAGTGCCATACATCGAGTCCATAAACATCCACCCCACCAACGGCGGGGTCGCGCCTTTGTACAATCCTGCGAAGCCCTCCTTTCTCAACGTCTGCATAAGACAATCTACCGGACCTCTAAAATGCGACTTTTCTGTCGTTTGCAGTCGCACTTTGACTGTGTCGAATGGGTGACCGACTATCTCTAGTTAGATAAGGGCGTAGGCAACAGGTGCAGACTGTCACACCTGATAGCTTTGCAATGCCACTGAAGACACCAGCTACGAAGCCGCGGTAATGTTTAGGCGACTTCTGAGGTTCGTCGGAAGTCACGATAAGAGCCGTTGCTGCGGGCTTCATGCCGGCGGGTTTCAGCGCTGTAGTAGCCATTGTCGCGTCGCTATTGTCCAGTGAAATATGAGAATCATGCCTCAAAGAACAAGGCCAAGAAGAGATATCGGTGGAAAAGCATCAGCACCTCGATGTGTGCTAATCCCCATCCCATATCTTGTGCAGCGCGTCGGTAGCCTGCAGTCGGAAACGCACAAGCGTCCGCGATACACTTATGGTGACGATCTCGAGAGGGACCGGAGATCGGCTAAGGTCGGACCGTTCTTCGATTCCCAGGGTCCCAAGCTACCTGAATTGGTACGATCGTTACTACTTGGATTAGCGGCTCTTACGACCCCTCCAAACAAACCTGCAGTCATAGACAGACCGAAGATGGCGCAATTAAATCTTGTTACTAATCGGATAGTCTTTCTATCAATACTTAACACATTGCGCCAACTGCATTGACGCGTCTAACACGTATACATGTCAACGATGCAGAACGCGACCGAAACACCTAGTACAACACCAGCGGGGACGAAGTCGAAGAAAGGTATGTTAGGTTTGGTCTAACATGTGATTGTTAAAAATAACACATCTCAGTATGGACCACCCTGATCACTAACACGGCATACCTCACCGGCCTCCTCACCCTCGATTACAGTCTGAAGAAGCACGGCTCGAAATACCCGCTTGTCGCACTATACACCGATACTTTCCCCGCTGAAGGCCACAAGGCGCTAGATGAGCGCGGCATTCCCAAACAGCATGTCAAGTACCTGCTACCCACGGTCAACAAGGACTTCACCAACGACCCGCGCTTCTACGACTGCTGGAGTAAACTGACGCCATTTTCGTTGGAAGAGTATGACCGGGTCGTCCAGCTCGACAGCGACATGCTGGTGCTGAAGAACATGGATGAGCTGATGGAGTTGGAGTTGGATCCACCGAGTACCGGAGGTAAAGGCGACAGGGTATTTGCAGCGAGCCATGCCTGTGTGTGCAATCCCCTCAAGAAGCCACATTACCCCAAGGACTGGTACGTCTCCCCTCATATCCACGACTTGCGCAAACCGTTGGGCTAACGTTGGACTAGGATCCCCGAAAACTGCGCATTCACTTCGCAACATGGCGATCCCGACGCCGCTCAGAAAATCGGTGCACCTTCTACAGCCGGTCTTCGCATGCCCAACGGAGGCTTGCAGGTCGTCAACCCTTCCAAGGCCACGTATGACCTCATTCTGAAACAACTTGCCAACGAAACGTCCATGTCGTACGACTTCGCCGATCAGTCTCTCCTCGGTGACCTCTTCAACGGGCGCTGGGTCGCCTTGCCATATACCTACAATGCGCTCAAAACAATGCGCTCAAAGGGTGTACACGATGCTATATGGAAGGATGAAGAAGTCAAGAATGTGCACTACATCTTGAGCCCGAAACCTTGGGATGAGGCACCCGGCAAATGCTCTGTAGAGATACACGAGTGGTGGTGGCCTATCAACGATGAAAGACGTGCGTTGGAGAAGAGCAAGGGCATCGATGACGGTTTCTAAGGGCATGGCGCATGTAGACGTTGGGCATTTCAACAGAGCCCTAGGATAGTGGTGGCGACGGCGGCGTTCTTTTATGGAGATACCTATGATAACTATGTACTCTAAGGATCCCAATGACATGGCACTTCATCAATCATTCCCTTTGTTCGTATCAGTCGTATGTATGCTCGAAGAGACCATTCTTCAAAGCTTGCCCTTGTCATCCTCGATCTCACAGAAAGCCTTGAATGTCACAAGGCCTTCTGCACCTTCTTCATCCTCAGCATCTACATCGCTCTTGATGATTACCTCAGCCGTGGCTCCAACAAAGTAAACGAAACCCTCGCTCAACTCTTCTTCTTTAGGTCCAACACTGATCGTTCCTTTGCCCTTTGTGCAGAGAATGATGCTGGGTCCATCAATAGGATCAAACGTCGCTTTAGAGCCAACCCGGTTCAGCGCCGTGCGCACAACCGCAAACTCTGGGATCGGGGGGTTATACAGCATATTGCTCGAGTTGGAACTGTATGCAGGCGCATTCAACCTCACACGCGAGTAATCCTTGGGCTCCATCTTCTGCTCGCTAATAGGGGCATAGCTATACGTCAGCATCTTGGTGAGGTTGTCGACGTCCTTGAATTTCGGGGTGAAGCCCGCGCGCACCACGTTGTCGGAGCTGGCCATGCACTCGATGATGTCGCCAGAGAGGTAGGCGTGGATATCGTCTGCCTTAAGGAACATGGCTTCGCCTACATCGAGCTTGACGTAGTTGAGGAAGAATTGAACGAAGAGGCCAATGTCGCCAGGGAATTGCGAGTCGAGGCGGATGACGAGGTCGGCGAGCTCTTTGCCTGTGTTGGAGGGTGGACCGCCGCCGGCAAAGTTTTCGCCCTCAGACTTTGCGGCTTCGATGAGTTCTTTGCTTGCGGATTCCAGTGCGTCCTTGTCTGCGTTCATGAGTTTTGTGAAGGCGGACTGAAGAGCCTTCTTGTTTGCTTGCACATCTTCCTCCTTGTCTGACGTCTCTTTTCCCTTGATAGTCTCCTCAAACTTGGTCGCTTCTTCTTCGCCGACGAGTTTGCGTAGGGAACGAACGGTCTTGAGGAAGTGCGTAATTTCGGCAAGGGGACGGAAGCCACAGAGTCCGTCGAACGGTGTGACTGCAATGGTCATTTCGGGCTTGTGGTTGTCATCTGAATGGTAGAGTTAGTATCAAGTCAAGACTGCTGCATGAAGACTGACCTGGGTAGTTCTTGGGGTCGCTCGCATGCAACTGCTCGGCAAGCTTCTTGTTGGGATGTGCCTGTATGCTCAAGGCCTTGTTTATAGACAGGACCTTGAACAGGAACGGTAGTTTGTTCTCATATCGCTCAGCGATTTCAGTGGAAAGTAGCGCCTGGTTCTCTTGGACAAGTTCTAAGAGGCTTCGCTTCGTCTCGAGATCTTTTGAGGGAAGTGACGGGTGGGTGCCCATCCACAACTACAACGGTGAGCAACGCGTCGACGACAATGCCGCATTGATTGCATACCTCAGCGTACGGCTTCTCTTCTTCGATTGAGAATTCCGAAGCTGTCGCAGCGTGGAATTTTGCAGCGGCCGAGTCTTTACCGACTTTCCCTGGGCTGGTTCAGCATACCGCTGATGGAATTATGATGCGGGGCTGCGTACCCCAGTCGTAGCTGTTCACGCCTGCAAGACAATCAATTTGTGTTATTTTTTCCTATTTTCAATTTCTGCTTACCGCATTCTAATCTGATAAGTGGGTTCCGCATTTTGGCAAGGCCTTGTATTGTGTGTAGATTGTGGTCAAGGAAAGTGATGCGTGGCAGCGGATCTTTGGCAGGCCCACTTGTGCCGCTAATTGGCGTCCCCCAAGCATCGTCACAAGGCTGGTCGGATTAAGCTCATGGAGACCCTACCCCTCTTCCGTTGCTAGCGCGGCTCCTACCCTGCATCGCAATCAACTACACGTGCTCTCGTTTGCATTTCCCGCTTCTTTCACTCTCCCTCCGCCAAACCACACCGCTCCCACATGACCTGCCTGCAACGCGTCCGGTAACATAGAACGTGCCGGGGAGCTGGCGGAGAACAACTTCCGTCAATATGGCTGCTCGAAGCAGGCCCCGCGGCCAACTCAAGGAGGAGTTCGATGAGGAGCGGGTGATTTGGAACTCGATCAAATCTGATGGCCGAAGGGTTGACCAGCTCATGGTATGAGACATCTCAATCAATGCATCCTCAGCACTCTTGTTTGCAAGTTTTTGACTGTATTCACAACGCGCCATGTAACCCGCAAGCTACGCGACTCTCGAGAGTCCATTGGCTATGCTCGATCCAGCACCATGTATACCAAGCTCATGATCAACGATGAGGGACGGACGTGACAAAAGCCCAGTGGCCTATGATAGCCTTGTGGACAGAATGGTTGCGAGGCGTGAAGCTCCAAAACCTTGCCGTTCATGCTTCCTTTTGCCACACCGCACCAAGCTACCTCATGCCGTCACCCTCTACTAACGTGTCGCAGAAAGAATCAGATCTTCTCCAGGAAAAGATCCTTGCTCTCCAAGCAGAGCAGGCCGCTCGTACAGGTGAGCTTAGAGAAGCTGGCGTGGCAGCACCAGCACTAACTTGAGCAGACCGTGGAGAGGAACGCTCAGCCCGTATTGACGATGATTTGGAGGACCTCTTACGAGACAACATCCGCAAGGTGGAAGAGGTCCAGGCTCTCCTCCAGCCTATCGAAGGTGGTAACGACGTTCATACACAAATGACTCTCCTTGCTGCTTTGCGCAATTCTGAAGAAGCTCAGCCATCTGCTTCACGATCTACTAGCGTTGGGCATGGGAAGTCTGGGCGCGACCGCCAGGGCAAGCGAAAGCTGACCGATAGCATCGATGACCGCGACAGTCTGACTGCAGATAGCCCCGGAGGCCCTAGCCCCAAAGTTATCATCAGCAGCCAGAAAGACCGACTGGTTGCCAAGTCTGGTGGCAGCAGGGCGGGGTCAGTCCCCATTGCGAGAGAGGGCAGCGTCAAGATGGAAGACGACAAGGATGACTCGGGTAAGGGTAAGATGGTTCTTCCTTCTTCCAAGCCCAAGCCCAAGATCAAATACAAGACCAAGCGTTGAGCTCCTTCGCTTTCGGCGTTCTTTCTAGACGACAGATGATACCCGCTTTGGCATCTTTCCTTTCGGCTTGTTCGAGGTTTGTAGTCGGATAGGCAAGCTCAAAATTTCACCTCGTCCCATCTCATACCTCTTTTCTGTGTGCTCATGCCACCATGTAACTTTCCCGTTTAGCATCCGCTACATAGCCGTCATCCCATCATACTCGATATCAACGGGGGCTGACAAATTCCAGAAGTTCGACCGCGCCTTACCCCGCAGACTGAGGTACTCTACCGCAATAACGCCAAAAACCGATCCTCCTCCTCGTCCATGTCTTTTGAGGGTGAAGGTATCCTCTGTCGCGTGACGTCAGTCATCGGCGAAGGCAAGCAGCGTCGATATGAAATTATAGATGCCGACCCAGATCCTCCAACTCCATCTGCGCCATATCGCGCCTCGGTCAATCATCTGATTCCAATTCCGCCCCAATCCTCTAACGCGACCCTGCCTGACCTTCCCAAGGGCAAGAATGTACTCGCTCTTTATCCAGGCACAACCACCTTTTATAAAGCGGAAGTTGTGGCTACATGGAGACAAGCTGATGGGAAAGTGAAGAAGGAAGATGGTGGGAGGGAAGGAGACACGGTTGAGAACCTGGTGAGGCTCAGGTTTGAGGGCGAGGACGAAGCGGATCGTGAGATGAGTGTCGAGAGGCGATATGTATTGCCAGATCGATGAGCATCTGTACAACCGTGCCATTTTTATACCAGATTCGCGCTAGCTACTCTGTAATTGGATAATATGCAATGGAGACTGGATACGTTGATTTAGAGCATGCGTGCATTTGGGTAGTCGACTGATGTTGACAGAACTGGGTAGTAACCAGTTTTGCTCTTCGAGAAATCTACATACTAGCGCTCCTTTGGAAATGCCCTGTCTGATCATAACCTCTTCTTTCCTGGCCCTTCACTTCTCTCCTGTAGTTGTGGCTTTGACTCTATGGTAGCACATATACGTCTGTACACCGCCAAGCCACTAGCGCGTTTTTGTGCAAGACTTAGGTAGACCCTGTCCACCCCCAACGCGAAGCCGCAACACGAATGCTCGCTTTGACCCCGCAAGACACCCCGCATACATACCAGGCATTGGATTTTAGTGTCGCCTCAACTATCAGCCGCATTTACGCGCTCATTCTAAGGCGCGGTCTCCCAGTCCAATCAGACAAGTGGCTATCCGCAAGTCTACCGACGCCGTCGGCCTACGCCGCACGCCAACCCAAACCCAACCGGTATCTGCACAAGTCTGACCCCCTCCACACGAACACCTGACTTCGTCATGAACAACTATTCTTTCCTTGAGTCCTCCCAACAACAGGCCCAGCAGCAGCAACAACATAACCAATCGCGCCCACCACCCTCACCCTCACACTCGCAAGCTGGTAGCATAGCAGGATCGCAAGTGAACGGCGGCGGCCAAAACGGCATTCCAATGGTCAACGGGCTGCCAAGCGGAGGTCAGCAGACGGACATGAACCACCTCTGGGCTGTGGTACAGCAGTTGAGCCAGCTGTTGGAGGAGAACAAGGCGCAGACAAGAGGTATTGTAGAAGGGGTTGCTGCGATACAAGGAAGGGCTGCTTTAGAGGAGGGCGGAGAGGTTGGCGGTGGCTCCGCACCAAGGGGAAATGGTGTGAGTATGAGAGAAGTGAATGGAGAGATCAACGGTATGTTAGCTGCCATTTCACAGCAACCAAATCGCGATTCTAACATTCTTCGTAGCAGCGACCCAGACACATCTCCAAAACCAGCTCACATCAGCCCAATCGACCATCGCTTCCCTCACCGCAACCAACACATCCCTCTCCGCTCTCCTCACAGACTACGAGTCCGCCTTGGCTCTTTTACTTGACAAGCTGCGCCCATATGCTTATTCCCAAACATCGTCGATCCTCGCACTTCACAAGCATTATCAAACACTACTTGAGCAGGAGCGATCTACATCTATGAGTCTCAGGATCGAGCACGCAGAATGGCAAGCGGGACTTAGCCGCGTAGCGGAAAACGCAAGGAACGCACTACGAATGCAGGGAGAGGTAGAGGCAGGCTTGCGCGGACGCTGCAAAGAGCTTGGAGAAGAGAACCGTGTTCTCCGACGCATGGTGGGGTGGGAGGAGAGAGAAGATAGTGACGAAGAGGATGAGGATAGTGTATAGCGAAGCGACAATAGGGTGGATATTTGTGCCGTTGTTTCGCGAGTTTTGTGCATAGCGATGGCGTTTGGGACACTGTTGTCTTATATCCATGTTTCCAGGGTCTTTGGAATAAAGTGTAATGTAGGCTGTTGGGATACCATTACATTCTGGTATGAATATAAGTCATATTATGAGGATGTTCATTGTGATCCTCTAGAAGGAACAATTAAAGTGGGTTACCGTGGTTTAGTCTCGAGGGAGTCTAATGTAGAGTGAAGCTATATATTTCGCAATGTCGAATACTTTACTTGTGCATGTTCAATTGAAATGGTTCATCATAAATAAGAATGCACACCACTATCGAGTCGTTGTGTAGTGAGGGAAAATTTGGGCAAGCCTTTTCCCACAAAGTTTGAGCTTCCCGCATCAACATCATATTACGAACTTACCTTTTGAGTCCTCTAATCGAAGAGCTCTCGTTTAACCACCGCTCAAGCAATATTTGCACAAAAGAATGATTCATCTTTATGGACATGGATCATTTGGACAGTAGTATGAATGATAACTTTATCCAATATTACCACAATCGATGCAATCATCTTTCTACCTCTGAGCGCCCTTGTGGCAATGATTCCCATGACGGAGAGGAAGCAAACATGTTTCTGTGATTCAAAGCACATGTCATTGTTTCTAGACTTCTACCAGTATGCGCCGAGTTACTCTTTCTGATTATCCGACAATTTAAGCATCACTACGCGATCACTGAACTTACTTACTCCTATAACGTCTCACGTGTATGAAAGGTAGGTATTGAGAGATAACAGAGAAACCTGGATGAAGAAAGAGTTCTGATCTACTACAGATTATACCATCGGCCTCGCCTAAATGACTATACTAATCATATATCGGCAAGTGCTTGAGAGATAAGGCTAATACGTGAGGGGTGCCGAGAAGGTTAAAGTCCCTAGTGTGGTATCAGACTAAGTTGAGGAAATATAAAGATGTGTATAAAATTTGGGACCGTTTGGAGTATGCATGTGTCTGCACAGGGGGTATCTCAAATTAATTGCGCTTTTTATATGACTCAAAGGGATATGGTGTAGTGTCCAATCAACGATTCCATTGAGCATAGGGTGTGTCCCAATCAAACAATGGCATATCAGCATACTTTTACTCGGAGCATACAGGGCTTGCTCTTGCTGTGAGTGCAAGAATTAAAAAAAAAAGTTCAATAAGATTCTAGTCTTCACAAGCGCCAGAGTTCCTTCGTCTATTACAGCGCTAGATGCCATTGGCCGGCCGAGTTCGGCCACCTTGACCGGAAAGTTAACTTTTATATGGCTTAAAAAAAGTTCGCCATCCCGCGCTCAATCTCCTTAGGCAAGGAGACGGAACCGAACAGGCGAACATGTTTCTACGCTCAGTGCGCACCTACCCACGGTCACTCCACACGCTGACCCGCGCAAGTGCGGTCCGGACATCCACCTATTACGCACCAAACGAGGTCATCCGAACTCGGCAAAGCCCATGTCCTAAAATTTCTACAAAACAGTCACACTTTGGCAACAGACGCTCTCTAGCAAGCAGTGTTCCTCGCCTTCAACAACTCGGCTCTGCAGAAAGGATTTCAACATCCAAAATGGCAGGCGACGACCACTACCTCACGCTTTCATGCCCTGACAAGGCAGGAATCGTTTACGCCGTGACGGGCCTACTGGCAAAGGAAAACCTCACGATTCTGGATCTGCAGCAATTCTCCGACCCAGACTCCAAGACCTTCTTCATGCGCGTGCACTTTGGCCATGCCTCGGACGTCTCCGCGCTGCAAGCCAGCATGGCGACGCTCGCCTCTGAAATGAGCATGACGTACCAAATCCGGCGCGTAGACGCCAAACCCAAAGTCCTCATCATGGTCTCGAAAATTGGGCACTGCCTCAACGACCTCTTGTTCCGCGTCAAGTCGGGCCAGCTCAAGGTCGACGTGCCGCTCATTGTGTCGAACCACGGCGAATTCGCAGAGTTGGCGAAGAACAACGGTATCGAGTTTCACCATCTGCCTGTTACAAAAGACACCAAAGAGCAGCAAGAGACGCAGATTCTCGATCTTATCAAGCAGCACAATATCGATCTTGTCGTGCTTGCGCGCTACATGCAAGTTCTGTCACCCCGTCTATGCACGGAGATGTCTGGAAAGATTATCAATATTCATCACTCGTTCTTGCCGTCGTTTAAGGGTGCAAAGCCCTACCACCAGGCTTACGAGCGTGGCGTCAAGATTATCGGGGCTACCGCGCATTTCGTCACGGCGGATCTGGACGAAGGACCTATTATCGAGCAGCGCGTTGCGAGGGTCGATCATGCATTGAGTCCCAAGCAGCTTGTCGAGGAGGGCAGCAACGTCGAGAGCCAAGTGCTTGCTGCAGCGGTGAAATGGTGGAGTGAGAAGCGTGTGTTTTTGAATGGACAGAAGACTGTTGTGTTCAATTAAAAACATTCGTACACTAGGGCGGATTTGGGATGTTGAGAACAAAAAGTGTAAATACTACATACATACATAGGTTACAAAAAAGTTCAAGTCGGGCCCTTCTTTTTTTCCCCTTTGGTTGCGGACTCGTTGCGAGAAAGAAGGCGCGGTTCAACGTCCCGAGCCCTTTTCGGTAGTATGCACAGAAAGAAGTTTGTACCAACCAGATCCCCAAATGCAAAATTCCATACTTCATCAACAATTCCAATACCACGAAAAAATAAAACCCTGAAGACATTTTTAAATCACAAAAATAAACCCCCCCCTCTCGTATTTTATACTGTTTAACCCCTCCCCCCCCTCTACCTACCCCGCCCCCTCCTCCTCACTATTTACCCATCTCTCTCCCAAAAAGCTCCCCTGTACTAGCCACTTACCTTACTTTACCCCAGACCACAAAACGGGCGGAATGCGGGACGATCCCCTCTTATCCTCGGCACTTTTTACTATTCCGCGATTTGTGCAGCCAACATCCAAAGCTAGGCTAGCCCCGATGCAGGCCGAGAATTGTGCCTCGAGACGAACACAAGCTGAGGGTACGAGGCTTGCGTGCATGCTCGTTACGACGGGGGAAATTGTGGGGGTGGGAGTGTGGGGGAAGTATTGGGGATGTAGGTAAAGGAAGGAGAGATGGGGGGGTTAGATGGGGAGAGGGGGGGAAGGTATAAGTAGGAGGGGGGATGAGGTGGTGTTGGTACATTGGTTTATCGCATACATTTACACTCTATACATTTTGATCTTTAATTGGGGGGTTTTTTTTCTCGATTAGAATTAAGTTGAGAGAAAGAAAACGAATTGCGTACATCAACATGGCATCTTCAAGTTCAACGGCCGAACCCGTTACAAAAGTGCAGTTGGAAGGTAAAGTCATTGCTATTACCGGTGCGAACAGAGGTAACTTTCCCCCATCATCCCCCCCCCCTTTCCCAAAAAACCCATACACCCCCTTATTAAAAAAAACAACAACAATGTTTTTTCAATAAAAAAAAACTAAACAAAAAATCCACAGGCATCGGCCTCGGCATAGCACACAGCTGCCTCACCAACGGCGCCTCCGCAGTCTACTCCCTCGACATCGGCACCCCAGACACCGACTTCACCACGCTCGCCTCCAAATACCCCAACCAACTCTTCGCACTAGAAGCCGACGTCACAAACGAAGCCTCGATCCAGGCGGCCATCGACAAGGTGCTTGCAGAAGCGGGGGCGCTACACGGCATGGTATGCAATGCGGGGCGTACAAAGCACAAACCCGCACTGGAATTTACAACGGAAGAGATTGACCAGCTGTGGGGGGTGAATTTGTATGGGAGTTTTTACTCTGCGAGGTGTGCGGCGAGGGCATTTATTAAGCAGGAAGTTAAGGGGAGTATTGTTTTCACGGCGAGTATGGCGTCGTATCGGCCGAATAAGGTAATGTTCTTCTTCCGTTTTCTAACTTCCCTTCTTCGTCTTCTTCTTCTTCTTCTTCTTCTTCTTTGCGATGGAGAGAGAGAGAGAGAGATTTAAACTGGTGGCTGACGGACTTCACAGCGTGTTCCCTCGGCACCGTACGGTGCGTCCAAGGCGGGCATCAGGAATATGACGCATACGCTTGCTATGGAGTGGGCGCAGTATAACATCAGAGTCAACTCTGTGTCGCCGGGTCTGGTCAAGACGGCGATGACGTACTGGGTTGAGCAGCAGCCGGATTGGGAGCAGCAGCTCAAGTACTATGGTGGTATGCCGCGGTTAGCGGCTGTGGAGGAACTTGGAGGCGCCTATGTGTATTTGCTCAGCGATGCGGCGAGTTACACGACGAGTATTGATATCCCGGTCAATGGCGTTATTGGTATTTGTTAAGCTGGGCCGAGCAGAGAATCAGTGGCTGTTTGGGAAAGGCGACGAGAGAGCTAAGAGAAATGGATTAGAGTCTTGTTTGATTATATCAACAATTAGAGATGGCATACTAGTTACACATTTTCCCCTATCCACTTTCCATGCCTGAATATGTAACACGTTTCTTATCGGGGCGGTTGAGACCAGCATAAGGCATGCCTTTGTAAATGGGCCCAACCTCAGATGCAACACCGAATGCACAATGACCAATGCTCTGAACTCCACCTCCACCTTGGTACTCCCCACTTGAATATGCAGGAGGATCACTGCCGTCAGCAAGCGCGCCGAATTGTAGCCTTGTGTTCATGAGCTCCATCGGAAAGGGATCATTTCCAAGACACGCGCCACGACTGATATTGTCCAAAGTCATGTTTCGCGTCGTGACGAGAATACGCGAGAATCCAGCGGAGAAAGTCGTGCCGTCTTCCCAGATGGTAAACAGTCCAAAGAGAAGTATACATAACGTGACGAAAATGACGGGAATGTAGCACTTCCATAAACGCTCTGGCACGTAGACGAAAGAAGACTGGAGTCGCGATCGCTCGACTGTCAGCTTCTCTTCGTTAACGGCGAGCATTTCCGGCGCAGAGAACAGCGAGAGGACCATGTCGGAGTAGAAGGATTCAATCTCAGTCCCTAGATTTTTCTTGGGCTCTGCGTTCTTGTGCACCAGTCGTGTCTTGGTGACGTCGGAATAGACTTGAGAATAGTAGGGTCCCGGAAGAGGAGGTTCGAGATCGACGTGTCCGCGAAGGAATCCCCGGAACATGGAACCTAGAGCATGATAGGCGGCTGTTTTCTTGTAAAGACCCACATCATCGCGTGGGCTGATGTAGTTTGTTGCTGGCTCAGGGTCTCGCGTGTGGTTTGTTAGACCGTAGAGGCCACGAGTGAAATTTGTATCCACAATTGGAGTAAGATATTCTCGCTTCGCCATCGACTTGAAGAACGGCTCGGTGAAATTCCACTTCACCGTGTACTTGGTCTCCATGTGCACACATCGGATAATGTGAGAATCAAAGCGATGAGTCCAGTGCTTTGCAAGAGGGTCATCAGGAGAGAGTCTTTCCGTCGAATTGGTGGTGTAACCGATCCATAGTATGGGCTCCGACTTGAAAACACCCAAACCTTCAGGTGCTTCCCCAAGAGGCAGTCCACCAGGCCCTTTGCGGAATTCTTCAGCTTGTGGTCGTTTGTAGGCCCCAATATCCACCTCAGCAAAGTAGGCAGCGCGGCCTTGGGGGGCTATTCTGCTATGATTGAACGGTGCGTCCAATTCGCGAAGTCTGTTCTCATCATTGATCTCCTCGCATTGATAACCGGGTCCGTTAAATGTCTGTTCGTAGGTGCAGTTGTATTGTCCTCCACAAGCCTGTTGTCGAGCGCCTTGCCGGGTGTTTGGATGGTCCATGTTGCTGTATGCCAGCAAAACTCCGATCCGTACCAACTCTGCAGATGGCTGGTCATAGTAATCGAACCAACCCGGTGCCGTGCCAGCGATATCAGTGGTGTTGTAATACATTACAGATTTCTTGTTGCTTCCGTCAGCCATTTTAACCGGATAACGCCAGTTCTTAGTGGATTCCATGGAAAAATTGAGCGTCGGAACTACAATGTCGACAACCTCAAGGTCAAGGTAGGTGCCGAAGGTGAGGGCGCCAGGTGAGAAGATGATTGTTGCCAAGGGTATCAGCCAGATGATCCCAGCAACGAACACAAGAACAGGAGCGTTGGTAATGGCTTCCCAATTTGCAAAGAGAGAAGGATCTTCTGTTGCGCCGAAGAGCTGGTCGATGGAGAGCACCGTCAATGCCCGCTCTCGAAACGTCCTCCATAGTCGCTGTCGAAAGACCAGAACAACGCACCCTCCGAATGCGACCTTGGAGAGGTAGGCTAGCACACGGCCGTAGAGAACCAAGCGGAACTTTTTGTTTTCATCGGCTTCCTCCTTGTGATGCAGGGCAGTGTATAGAAGATGTTGGAAGAAGGCGAAAACAATTCCCATGAGAAAAGCAAAAACCATTAGTGCCGGAGGGCGCCAGTGTATACGCCATTGTGCTGATTGTGTAGCGCGATGAGCAATAAGCCTTTGTGTCATAGGATCCGTACTTGAAGCCCGAGAGAACACGCTAGGTCGCTTCCCATCTGCATCTAGAGCCGAATATGCAACATCCGGAGACTTTTGCGATCCTAGCGAGTGCATGTGGATGCCTAGGCCGGAATCGACATCTTCTTGGAATCTTGAGCGCCTGTCGCTCATATCGTAAAGGGACTCATCACTGTTTCTGGTGGGCAGCGAAGCATAATCTCCTGGTCTCGAGATGGTTATGCCTGGCGTTGGGGGTGAATTTCCGTGTTCTGTGTGCGGGATGTCCATGTTGAGTGTCTGCAGTTGCTCTACATCACGAAGCACGCTGTGTGCTTCGCTGTATCCACGTAGAATGGTGTTGGGATTGATATTGAGAGGAGGGGAAGGTCTAGACGTCAATACGCGCCAGACAGGTCGCACAGCTGAGGCGCAGCTAGAGTCAGCTGGCGAGGGTTACACGTGTGTGAGGCTGAAGCCAACATGTCCCTATTGGACGTGCGCGCATTGAGGCTCCACCAAAAAAGGTCGAAAAGCCACAAGTCGTGTCGCTTGCATTGAGTTCGCAATCTTTTTTTCTCGTGGGGGCCAAAATCCTCAGCCCTTTAGGTAGTAGCGCACCAATTAACCGTAAAGCCGTTGTCCCTTGAAATAGTATCGGGTAAGAAAGAAAGATGCAAGGTTCAAAGCGAGATTAAACGTATTTTTAGTTGCCGTAATATCACCGTGCATGTGCATTCCATCGTTGTTGCACATATCCTTGAAGCTCAGTAGACGAACATGACACGACCGCTTCAGACCTCGTAGAACCTCTTCGCCTCGTCCTCTGTAACAGGACTGACATAGCTCCTCTTGGAATCGATAAGTCCATACCGGTTGCCTCTGATTCTCCACCACATCTCCTTACGGTTACCGTTTAGCCTCCCACCTAAAACATCTTCTTTCAATTGCTTGATGAATGCGTTGTAGATCTCCGGCTCCTCAAGCTCAGTGAGCTCTTCACGCATGACACGAATAGCCTCGAGAGCCCGTTGGTATGCGTTGTCACCAACACTGTTGCTGATGAGCGAGCGGATTTCTTTTGCAATGCCATCGGCGGCGTCTTGGATAGCGTCCAAGTCGTCGGAAGCAGAGAGAGCTTGTTTGAATGAGGGAATCAGATTGTTAGATTCAATCTTGACGCGTTTGGGATTGCCTAAGAGTTGGTCGACATCCAAACCTGAAAGAGGCTTATCACGCTCGGTACGCTGGCGCTTCCCTCGGCCCTTGACCTTTGGTGGTACTTTCTTCAAGTCTGCCGCTTGCTTGACGGCATTAAGTTGCTTTTGTGCCGACGCAACAAGTTCTGCAGGTGGCATAGAGTATTTGGTAAGAATTTCCGGTGGATCAGGGATCGGCAGGCTGGGGTCGGAATGTGTCGCTCGCCATCGTATAACTTGGTTGATGCGGTGGACAAGAGGCGAGAATGTATCTTCTGGTTTAGCGTACTCGTCTTCGTTCCCATCTTCGTCGCGGCCAAAGGTTGAAAGGTCCATGGCATCGACGTAGTCGCTCACTGCGTCGACGAGATTCTTAGTGGGCAGATCCTTGTGTTCCATTATAACTTTACCGCTGACTGTGAGTTTTCGATCCAACGGTGGGAATTTGTACCGCCTCATGTCTTCTTCAAAAGGAAGCTCTACGTCTACCAGAGCCTCCCACTCTGGCTCGATGCGCGGGACAAGCAGTAGCAAGACTGGGGGCTTTAGATCCTTTGCAACCAGCCTTGCGACTGCGTAACAATCAGCTTCGTAGAGCGCATGTATGAAGGATGACAAGCCCAATTGAGCAGGCTGGTTGGCCTTTTGTGGGACAATGAAGTTTGTCCGACTCAGAGGGAGAAAACGTTCGAAATCCTCAGCTCTGACAAAACCCACTAGCTCCATTGCTTGTTGTGTTTCCAGTTTGACAACGTTCATGTCGGACTCGGAAATGTGAACGGCCGTCCTGCCGTATTCGTAACCCCGCTCCAACTCGTCCATTTCTACATCCTTCTTGACACCGGGTTCGGTCTGACTTTCCACTTGATACACGCGCTGATTTCGCACTGCTGAGAGATCGGTTGCTGCTTGATCTTGATCAGTTCCAGCAGCTGAGGATTCAATAACCGGGCCTGATAAGCCAGTGGCGTCTGTCCGTATGACGAACGAACTTGCTGTTGGTGGCTTTGCTATCATGGTACATGGATATCGTTCAACATCGATGGTAATTGTAGCATCGTACCTGGTAGGGTCGCCCAAAGTCAGCGATCCTCTGTAGCTGTGGACAGGCCGTGTCTCCTTGAGACGAGGTATGTGAAGTTGGTCAATGGCCGTGGCTAGGGTACCGAAGTTACCGTCACAATCTTCTATGAAACTTTTCAATATGTCTTCATTTTGAGCCTGGGTCTGGTTAGCCATAGCAGAATGAGATATGTTAACCAGCAGTACCTTTTGAGGGTCTTTCTTCTCTTCCTTGAAGCCAATGTCGGGGTCGTCAAAGTCAACGCCAAGCAGTGTGATCTCAAAGGGAGCCTCCGGGTCTTTGATCTTTGATGTTAGTTGCTCCAAATCGTCCGTGACCATTTCCCCACGACCATCAGTCACAATGACAATTCTGCGGTCGTATTTGAGAGGGTTTCCCTTGGCACCCCTGGTTGCGGTGTCAACCATGTGTATTGCTACCGCGAGGGCAGAGAGGACTGTCTGTGTTAATCAAGGGCATACCGAATAGCAGGCAAGACTTACGATCTCCATTGTTGGTTCTGCTAGGCTTAAGATGTTCTTGGAGATTGCGAATGTCTCCAAGGAGATATCTGTTGTATGTAAGAAATTGCAGGAATTCCTGTAAGGTGGAACAAAACCTACTGCTTTATTTTGGAGAAGACCCTAATATGGTCATAGCCCTCATCCTCCTCTATGATACCAGCGAGATCCGTCTCGTCAGTGCGACAGCCAACAACGCTCATCAGCGCGCTTTTTCTGCCTGTTGCAACCTAGCAAGTTGTCAATCGCAGCTCTCTGGATCATGTGATGATATTTGGACAATGCTAGTGGCGTGCGTGTCTAACGCACTAAATCGCCGAATGAACGTCGGCTTACAGTGGTAGTGATTTTGTCCCAGACATATTCCAAGGCCCAATCAAGATCAGTCTGGTCGCGGCCATTTCTCTTTTTGCCCATGGAACGACCGAGGTCCAGGATGTAGACGGTTGCTTCTTTGGCCGCCATGGCTTGGTGTTGATTGTTCCTTGCACGCGCCTCGCGTATGTATGGTAGTAGTACACTGTGCTTTTGAAGCACACTGTGACAAGGCTAGATGCTTAGAACTGAAGCACAGGAGCTCCAAATGGCAAATTCTGTGCTGGCAATTTATAGCAAATTGGACAAGGAAGAAACAGCGTCCTAGACGTGTTTGCTGGGGCCATGCGAGACGGTGCAGCCTGTTGGATTAGGCAAACACACGCGTGGCGCAGCCGAGTGTGGGCTAGCGCAAACACGACGTCATGTGACGCAGTTGTCTGGCAATGCTCTATTCCGCATGTACGTACATATCATTTTTACATGTCATGTATTCACGAGAATGCCCATCACCCGAACGAATATACTAGATTAACCTCCCGGTGGGAGTTGTATCGAGTTTGCAAGTTCAATACTAGGAAGCTACAAAGGCGTGTCACCTACACTTGAATAGGCGCCTCAGCATCCGCGTGGGCCACAGCAAAGGGCATTACCACATGGCAGGCACCATTCTTTTCCGCGAACCTACCTTATCGGCACCGAATTTTGCCATGTACCATTCCTTGGTACCTACTGCCGTCACACCAAGATTGGTAGCGACGAATATGGTTCCGCAGGCCACAGTCCAATTGATCAAGCTGCCCTCTGGGGCTGCTATGAGTGATAGTAATGCATATATTACTACCTCGCAAGTGTAGTGCGGACAGAGGAGATTGGGAAACATGGGGTGAGACGGGAGCTGGTAGCCTTTACTCTCTGTGCGTAGGCGGTAGAGGTAGGCGTGGTAGGAGTGCTGCAGCATTTGGGCTGTGATGACTCCTGGCACAAGAAGTGCATTTGCAGATGCGCTACCAGGTGTCTCGACCCAGATGGCGGCGTTGATGGTGATGTAGAAGAGAAGGCCGAGAAGCCAGTGGGCAACGGACATTGTGCTCTTGCTGGCTGAGGTGTAGACATGTGACTCGAGCACGCGCCGCAGACCCTGAAGCAGCAGGAGCGCCCAAACCACCTGTTGCTGCCTATGCGCATGCCACACGTGCATCTGCCATGCCCACAGGAGCGAGCAGGCGACCGAGGTGACGTAGAAGTGGGTGAAGAAGTGATGGGGGACTTGCAGCGAGGCAGCAAAGTCGAGAGCGCGACTGAGTGCCGAGGGCTCCTGGTTCTCCTGGGCGGGCGGTGTAGTGGCACGGGGACCATAGGCTAGAAATCGGGTGCGTAGTGCAGGAACGGCCTGTATGACGAGGATCTAGTAAGCAGCAGCGGTTAGTGGTCGGCGCAGGCGGAGCTGAAGTGGTGGTGTCGCGATACAAGAAGTGAGGCAGTGAGGTAGAGGGCACGCAGCAAAGCGGGCAGCAGAGTGGGCGGAAGCGGAGCCATGGCTGCTGGAGGCGTGAGGGCGTGAGGGCGTGAGGGGAGCGTGTCTGTTGGGAGGGAGGGGGAGGGGGAGGGGGGAAAGGGGACGGTGACGGCAGCATGATGGGATGGCGGCCGGGCTGATCTTGGCGCAGCCGCGGGCCAACGGTGGCAGTGGTTGTAGCCGCAAGTGGCTGACGGCGTGGGTGTTCAGTGGCATATTGAGTTATTATTATTATTATTGTGACTGTGGCCAGGCGGCGAGGGCGGCGGCGATCACTGTGGTATTGTTAGTTAGTTAGCGGGTGTTAGCTGTGCAGGCACAGGTGGTATTATGGGGAGGTAGGCCGGCACAGCAACGCTGCCACTGCCCATGGCCCATGGGACTGGCTGGGACAGCGCATGGCGGCGCATGGCATGGCTACGTAGTAGCATGTCTGTACAGGCGACGTCCAGTCCAGTCCCCTCCGGAACCCACGTCGTCGCCCTCATCTGGCCATGGTCGTCGCCCACGAGCGAGCCAAAGCTGTAACCCGCACCGTGCGCTAGGTGTCGCAGGTAACGATAGCCTTTGCGCGCTCACCACCCGCCGCCTGCGTGGCCATGTCGCCGCGCGTGCGTGCTGCGTGCGCCCTTTGCATCCCTCTGCCCTCTGCCCATGCCACCGCAAAACAAAACAAAAAAAGGCTGCCCCATGGTCGACGGCATGCACTCATACATAGGCGCTCGCAGTCACCGTCGGCCGCCGTCGTTGCAGCAGCAGTTCCAGCTCCACGCGCAGCAGCGCAGCCAGCAGCATCCGCTCCAGCAGTAGCCGCACCCCCGGCGCAGGCGAGAGTGCAGGGTTGTGTTCAGGAGAGACGGGGCCCGCCTAGGATCCAAGCAAATGGCGCTCGCCGGTGAGTGGTGCAGCGCCGCCTGGCTACTCGCAAGCCTCGACTGTCTCTTCTCCGGCCTCTCGCTCAACCTCCACTGCTGCTGCTGCTGTTCCTCTCTCCACTCCACCCTGCGCGACACCCCCCATCACGCCCTCAGCGCCCACTGCCTCTCCCCGGTGTCGCTGCCGCCTGCACGCCCATTGTCCCCCCCCTCCCTCCGAGCTGGGCAGTTGAGCGCCGTGTTCCTGCCGTCTGCGCTCCCTCCCTCCCTTCCCTTGCTCTGCCGAGCCAGTATGAGGCAGGAACTGCAAGTGTCCTGTCCTTTATCGTGATGACCAGTAATGCCGATACTCTCGTAAACACGCCCTCTGCCCCCGTTGGCATCCTCCACGACCGTCCTCGCAGCTCCTCTCCACGCCAGCCCCACAAGCCCTCTGCTGCTGCTCTTCATTCATCCTGGAAGCCAGACCACGCCGAGCTGCCGCCTGCCAACCACGACGCCCACGACGACCAGGATGCAGAGCCCGAGTCCGAGGCCGAGACGGTCGTCCTGTCGCGCGACGAAAACCCTGCTGCTGACTCCAAGCTGATCAAGACGGAACGCGTCGACGATGACGACGATGACGACCACAGCAACAGCGACGCGACACGTCTGCGCTCCATCAAAGAAGAGCCGCGCCTGCACTCGCCCCAGCCAAACGGCCGCCAACGCACCACCAACCACGTCAAAATCAACGGCGCAAAGAGCCCGGCCCCTTCATCTCCAAACACGCGCACAAAGGACACCAGCCCCAACCATGTCGCCAAATCGCGTGGCCGCAGTGCCTCGACGGTTGACAACCGCAAGCGCAAGCTACGCGATGACTCGTTTCCCTTTGAGCCTCCGCGCCAGAAAGCCAAAACCGACACGCCAGGCTTTGGCCGCCCACACAAACGCTCCCAATCCACCCAATCCACTGCCACGGGCATTGCCGGTCGCAAGCGCCGCGAAGTCACCAATCTCGCTCTGTCCAACGAGGAGCATTGGTCAGGATCCAGCTCAGATCACTCAACCTCGCCCCAGCCATTGTCTGCACCCCATCTGCAGCAGCATGTCCGAGTAAAGCGCTCCACACATCGCGCTTTGACCTCGCCTGCGCGTACCATGCCCCATCGAAAAATTGATCGCTTTGGTGCCACTCGTCTTGCTCGAGAAAGTGAAAAGGGCGACTTGGACGCGGTCAAAGAAGCGTACGAGGAGGCGCCAGACGAGCTCGACCAGCCTGATTATGCTGGAATCACTCCATTGCAAAAAGCCTCGCTACATGGTTGGGCGCCCGTTGTCCGTTATCTGATAAGCAAAGGCTGTCGTACCGACTGTGAGAGCCATGACCGCGATACGCCGCTCATCGATGCAGTCGAAAACTCGCATCTAGACGTAGTCAAGCTTTTGCTCAACCAGGGCCAGGTCAATCCCCACCATTCGAACAAAAAAGGACAACGCGCCATTGATGTTCTTGATCCCGAAGACGAGGACGCGCCCGAGATTGAAAAAGAACTGAGAGAAGCAATGAGACAACGAGTGGATACTTCTACCAACGACCAAGAACGCACGCAGAAACAGGCCAAAACTGCTTCTCGCCTCTTGTACAACGAATTCAATGTCGAAACCCTTATCGAAAAGGCTGGAGACGGAGATATCCTAGCTGTGGGAGAACTCATAAACAGCAACATCAAGCCAAACATCACCTGCGGAGTTGCGGCAGCCAGAGGCGGACATTACGACATCCTTAGCATTCTCTTGGCTAGCGGCTTGAAGGCCGATCCCGACCCATCCAAGCACCCAGAGACGCCCATGACAGTTGCCATTGGGCGTGGATACCTGAAGATCATACAGTTACTTCTTGAACAAGACAACTTCAACCCTACGCGGAGGAACAAAGACAACAAGACGTACTATGAAATTTCAGAAGAACGACATGGACCGAAGTGGGAAGAAGAGAGGGATATGCTGAAACGCGCTTGCGAGGAGTACCAGAAAAATCATCGAAGTCCACGAAGAACCAAAAAAGAAGCACCGATCCCTGCGGCCAATCGCGTCAAGAGAAAGTCATCCCCACGACGGGAACGCTCCTCTTCGCCTCAAGCGGAGCCGAAACGTGCCACAAAATCAAATACTGTCTCCTCTGCGCCTCAAAAGTCACGACGGTTAATGTCCGGAAAGGAAAAGGCTTCTCGAGAGGGTCAGAGGAGGAAACGTGTTGTAGAAGACGACTCATCTGAAGAGGAGAGCGAAGAAGATGTACGGCCGCCTACACGCAAAGTCAAGCGGCGGTCCTACAGCGAAGGCGAAGGCGAAGAGGCAAAACCGGTCAGGAAAGCTCTGAAAGCACGGTCAGACGACAATGAATCCAAACGGCCGGTTCATGCACGTTCAGACGAAAGTGATGAAGATCATGGCGCAAAACCTCCAGTCAAAGCAGTCGTGAAGCCATCCAAACCGATCAGCGCAAAACCAACCCCGGAAGTAGATTCGCCCGACGAACGCAAGATTGTCAAGAACAAAATCAAATACAAGACCGTGGAGGAAAAGATAAGAAAACGAAGGCTGTCGGATGCATCGGCCGATGACACTAGTGTGAAGAGGACTCCTACTGTATCCGCCAAGTCGACACCGGCTCCACCTGAAAGGGTAGCGACACCTGAGGTGGAACGTCTAAGGCGTCAGGAAGAGCAACAAGCACAGGCAGAAGCGAAACGGAAAGCAGCCCAGGCAGCGGCCGAGGCTGAGGCCGAAGCCAAAAACAAGGAAGCAGAAGAGGCTGCCCGCAAGGTTGCAGAAGCAGAAGAAGCAAAGAAGAAGGCAGAGGCCGAAGCTGAAGCTGAGGCCCGGCGTCAAGCAGAGCAAGCGGAGGCTGCCCGTATCAAAAAAGAGGAGGAGACGCAACGGCAAGCGGAAGAAGAGGCCAAGCGTCAGAAGGAACTGTTGGAACGCCAAAATCGTATTTCAAAACTTCCTCGAGCCCTACGGCGAGCCTGCGAACTAGGTACCAATCGACCACTCCACTTTTCAGGCGAAGAGCTCGGCGTCTCAGCTGTCTTCCTACCACTCTTCTACGCAAACGCTCAAGATCTCAAGGATCCACAGGCTTTGCCCGGCAAGACCTACGTCTGCTCATTCCAAGTAGTTGGCATCCTTGGACTCCCCGAACTCGATTTAGCCCACCTCGATGCTCCTTACTCAAATTGGACCCGAATTCCTGTCAATCGTACACAACGAGATGCAATCCTGCGCCAATACGACGTTGCACTTCTAGCTCAAGATTTTCGATTTCCCATGGAAGGTGCTCCAGACTTTGACTACGCGAAGATTCAAGAGAGTATCAAGGAGGCTAGGAACCAATTTGCAGCAATGGAAGGTTTATATTGGGTTGAGGAATCACTACTGTATGCCGAGGTGGACAAGGTGGAAACCCTCCGCCCGTTGCTGAACGACATGCGTGCTGAGTGCAAGAGACGACGAATCCATCTGGCCGACATCAACGACGAGCTGCCGGACAAGAAGCACAAGCCCCGCAAGAGCTTCATGGACATTGTGCTCTCCCAAAATGGTGTCAACAACACTGTTCGCACCACTATTGTCAACGGCAATGGCTGAAGTAACGAAAGCATTCAGGTTCACTAGTCACAATTAGCTCGGAACGAGTCAAGCAGTAGCACGCATTGCCGCACCAGCGGAGGGGGCCGACAGCAGGGTTTGGGGGAGTGTCTAATTGAGGTTTGGAATGAGTCCAGGGGGACATAATACGTAGAAGTCGGCCGCGGAATTGCATTTTGCAACCTTGCTTGTTCACATCCATGGGCTATGTACTTGGCATGGACGCCAATCATCATCAGCATTTTGTTGGAAGGCCACGGCGTTACGATAATTTCCATCTAAAAAAGTAACGATTCCGGCCGGTACCGTCCCCCCAGTAGGGTTATTTTTGCTCTCATGCATGCGACCCAGAAAAATAGAGCGAATGAATTGAAGGCGGAGGAGGGCAGGTTCTCAAGTGAAATAAGCATGAAAAGCCAAGAACAGCAACTTTGTCAAAACTCAATGCATGATGGGAAATTAGGAAATCTTTTCGTGTTTGACCTTTTGTGGTTCTCGCCCAGAAAGTGATTTTGCATGGGGATTATTTTAGGGATTATCCTTGTCTATGCTTTTTTGACGAGCACACTTCCCCCCACTTTTAAAGCGGATCCACAATTTCAATCCCCCCTCCGAACCTGCCCCGCAATTCGGAGCTCGGAGCTTGCATATCTGCCCTTTAACCTTTTCGTATCAGTCTAACTGAGGCGCGACTTGTTGTATTACAGTTGGGAAACGACGTCTTACCTCACTCACTAGATTCAAGTAGTACTAGATCTTCGTCGAATCCCAACCAAACATCCTCTTTACCTACAAACCCTTTTCCCTCCCGCCACATACACACATACACATACATATATCCCCCCCCCAACCCTACCGAACCAACAATGGCCCCCAAAAACAAAGGCAAAGGCAAAGACGACTCCAAAGCCGAAACTTCAAAAGGCAGTAGCAGCAGCAAACTCAAACCAGCAACTAGCATCAATGTCCGCCATATCCTGTGCGAAAAACACTCCAAGAAGGAAGAGGCGCTCGAGAAGATACGGAATGGAGCGAAATTCGATGATGTGGCGAGGGAAATGAGTGAGGATAAGGCTAGGCAAGGTATTTTTCTTCCCTCTCCCTTCCCTTCTCTTCTCCCATCTTTTTTTTTCACTCGATTCTTTCTTCACGTGTCATGATTTTGGGTTTCTTATTCTTATTGTGACACAGGCGGTAGTCTAGGCTGGAAAGTACGAGGCAGTCTGATGCAGGATTTTGAAAAGGTGGCGTATGAGCTTGAGCCGAGTACGACGGGGAGTCCGAAGATTGGGGAGGTTAAGACGAGTGAGGGGTATCATATTATTATGGTTGAGGGGAGGAAGTGAGGCATTGGGGGAGAGAGATGTGTGTATGAAGAGAGAGATTTGTATGAGGGGAAAGTATGGAGTGATTGATACCCTGGTATAAGAATGCTAGTTGAGAGGGATTTGTGTAAGAGTTGTCATGGTTGGTACATGTTAAAATGTGCTGATGAGGGGATCGTTCTATTTCTATGGGTCAAGTAGGACTCCGTACGCCTTTGCTTGCGGTACATCGTCTGTCTACCAAGGTGCCCCTGAGAGGCACTCTTCCACTCCATATCTATCTTGTCGACACACAAAACCTACGTGTCTCAATATGCCCGTATAGCTGGGTTAGATGCCGACCTAACAGAAGTAAGGAGAAAGATCAAAGCTGGCGCGGGCTTGCCCCTGTCCTCCCCTTCTATTGTGTCCAATGCACGGATATGGAGCCTAGTATGTACATGATCCGCCCCATAGAGTAACTGGATATCGTATAGAACTGAACGCCACGAACGCCAATGCTCGAATATGTCAATTGTCCGGAACTATGCGCAGTCCTCACAGCGTCGCTGCTGCCTCGACGGCTCCCGTAAGCTTGAACGTTTTCGGGCTTGAAATGGTCACCTCGACGGGATACTTCCATTCCATAAACTTGGCCCATCCTATTTCCATAGTCAGCATCATGCCAAGCTACTCTTTGTTCCTTTATGCTGAAGATGACGTACCCCAGTACGCAGCTTTCCTGCCAAAGTATTTCCCCAGATACGGCACCATGACCATTGTCAGCAGCAGTTCCAGTTGCTGCAGCGATTCTTTCCATTCCCGATCCGCATCTGACATGTATTCTTCCTCGTCGACTGAGGAACTCGAAGAGGAAGAGGGCAGGGAATCAACCTCGTCGGCCGAGGAGTGCTCGACGAAGCTCTCGCTATTGCTCATCGACATGGCGGGTTCGGTAACGGATGACCAACAAACAAAAGCGGTGGATACGTGACTCGGAAATGCGGATTACCACCAGAACATGGGACAATTGTGAAATCGCGATCGTGCAATGCGACGAGTACCTGTCGGGCTACGTCGGCGCGTTTGGTGATGTGACGCCGCAACCAATGAGCGGAGGTGGGGCTTGGGCGGTTCTCATCACGTGACGCAAATCTTGGCTCGCAGTTCGACTCACACATGTGTGTTGCGGCGAAGTTCAAGGCCGTTGTTGCCCACGTCTGCTCAACGCCACCACCAACAATCACCCGCAAACAGCGATCATATCCGATTTTTCCTACGAGAATTATTACTGCAACACCGACGGAAAACTCTCTATACAACCGCAATCATGGCTGATACTGTACGTCATTTGACCCCACGCTGGGCTGTTCGAAATGGGGAAGTGGGCATTGGGAGAAGAGCCGGATGCAAGACCGCAGGTGACCTTGCAGTCCTAGGCATATTGGAGTGATCTGCAGTAATATTCCAACGGAACTGTTACTGTGATCGCTTTGTATAGGCTTGCATCCGGCTTTGTTTTTTCTTTCCTCTGTTACGACAGGCGATGCTACACTTCCCGCACATGGATGGCAGCTCAATGCGATCTTCGTCAAAAAGCTTATGCTAACATGACTCCCAACGCAGGCTGAGGTCCCCGAACGTAAGACACGTAAGTCTGTTCAATTTTCTGAAGGCACCACGATCGTCGACAGCAACGGCGAAGTCACCGAGTCTCTGGAGGTGAACGGCGGCAAGGAATCTGCCGAGGGTCACTCCTCTGGTGGCGGTGAGATTGCTTGTGTGTAGGCAACAAAAAACATAAACTGACGGGTAGGGCAGCGGGCGATGACAAGGAGGTCGAAGAGGTCACCGACATGTTCGCTGACCTCGCTAAGAAGGTATGCATACACGCATGTCTTGATGTGTGGCGGGCTGCTGACACAAGTACAGAAGAAGAAGAAGTCGACCAAGAAGAAGGAAGGCGAGGAGGATGACGGCGCAGAGGGCGATTTCGCTGCGCTGAAGAAAAAGAAGAAGTCTAGCAAGAAGAAGGTCGAGGATGATTTCGAGGCTAAGCTCGCCGCTGCTGGTGGAGAGAAGGCTGAGGGCGAAGAGGAGGCTGCCGCCGCCGAACCAGAAGTGCAAGAAGGCGACATGATGAAGGGCACTGGCATTTGGCAACACGACCAGACGACTCCCATCAGCTACAACCTCCTCCTCAACCGCTTCTTCACACTCCTCCACGCTCAACACCCCGATCTCGCCAGCTCAGGCACAAAGAGCTATAAGATCCCGCCCCCACAGTGTATGCGTGAAGGAAACAAGAAGACCGTTTTCGCCAACCTTGCCGAGATTTGTAAGCGTATGAAACGTTCCGACGAGCACGTTGCGCAGTTCCTGTTTGCCGAATTGGGTACGAGCGGTTCATTTGCCGACCAGAAGCGTCTAGTCATCAAGGGCCGTTTCCAGCAAAAGCAGTTGGAGAACGTGCTTAGGCGATACATTGTCGAATACGTTACCTGCAAGACTTGCCGCTCGCCCGATACGGACCTGTCCAAGGGTGAGAACCGTCTCAACTTCGTTACTTGCAACAGCTGCGGATCAAGGCGTTCGGTCCAAGCTATCAAGACTGGTTTCTCTGCACAGATCGGAAAGAGGCGGAGAATGGTGGCTTAGATTGTTCATTCTTGTTATGCGGGGTTTACGATGTTCAATGTTATTGCATGGCTCGGCTGGCTGGGCTTTTCGGTAAGCGGGCGCGCTTTTGGACGGCTGCTTTAATGAGGGCCTTTCAGCGATATGAGGATGCTGTGTAACATTCATTCCATGGATAGTTTTGCGTACATGTGGAATCAAAAGGGATTCGGAATGATGAATGATAAGTGGAAGGATATTCAGTGCCAGTGTGGGTATGTTTCCTAAGTGATGCAGAGTATTGATACATCCTCGACTGGACTTCACTTGCTTAAGATACCTGGATATGATTCTTACACTCTGTATGCCTATTTTCATCCTGCCACTACCCCTGACAAGACGGTTCTACATTGTCGGTATAGGTGTTTAAGCGGCACTTTTGTTACACATGATAGAGCAGGGAATGTACTCTTTGTCAGGCCCATGACACTTGTCATTCTGTCAGTCAAAGTTAAAGTTGCATAGTTTTTCCAAGCTCGCAATGTGTCACCAGGGAGTCTAGGCTTAACGCCATGCCTTGAGCTTGGGTCTTGGAACACCCAAGGCCAAACTCGCCCTTCACCCGTGCCGCCTACATCACACAACATATTGAGGGTTGGCCTTTACACAGGGCGCACGGCTGTGCCTATAAGGCGTCGGTGTCTTTCATGCTTGCCTATCTTTTTCACTGTGAGATGGCTTTTGAGATCTGCTGGTGAGCCAACAAAGACGAGACCGAGTACGTAACCTGTAGTAATACTTGTGTTCTATAAGAAAAGCAAATCCGGCTAGACTCGAGTCTTAGTGAAATTATCTACGGTTAGCGTGTATCCTATGAGAACAGTAGTACTCTGTAGATATTCATCAGCTGTTCAAGGGGCCAAGCTGGGACCAGTACCCAGTCAGCTATTCCCTCAAGGCAGCTTGGCTTAGGTGATGTTGTTGCATAGCGTATGGCCCCCACGACGACATTGGCATGCAAAGACAGGGGGAGGGCCTACAAGGCTTTCATGTCAAGTCCGGCGGCACAGAGAGAATTGGCAGAAACATGGGGTTTGATTTGTCCGTCCTGTAATATGCTTGTGCACCCCCGACCTAACTACCCAGACGACTGCAGGCGCCTCCGTCCCGTTCCTGGTGGACCGCACATGCAAAGACATACCAGGTTTTTGCAGCGTCGTCGCAGCAAAAATGGCAACTTGTGCATGAACTACGATGTGCACTTGTGCTGCTCACCCGTCGCACATGGTGGGCGCGTGCTACCCAGAGAGCCCAAGGCGAATGCGGGGCGCTGATTCGGCGGTTACAAGTCCACACCCCACTAACCAGCAGGCTGCGCGCCCGAGGCTGAGCAGCTTGACCAAGAAGACAGGAATGGGGCGCGCGGTTAAAACGCCTGTCTATACTGCTTGTGGCTGCTGATATCTCCGTAGACGAATCTGAATCTCCCTGCTCTTTCCTTCCTTTCTCTCTCCCAATTCTGCCTTGAGCTTGTGATACCCTTCTAGCATTGCCTTTTGAGCTACCTCACTGCTAAGGCAGCCCCCGAATCAGCAATGTCAGGACACCAGCCGACTCCGCCACCGGGTGGGAACTATTACCCTCGTGAGTTGCATGCTGTAAACACTATGAGGTAGCAACTGACATTGGCCAGCTCCTCCCGGTATTTCTCTCCCATTCAAGCTCGGATTCGAGTAAACCTTCTTCTACAGAAACCCTTCTGACGTATTTCAGACCAGCAACACCAACAACAGTACTTCGCGCCCCCTCCCGGCGGCCAATCCTACCCACCACCGCCTTCTTCTCCCCCCGCGCACCAGCAACAACACTATCCACCTCCTCCAGCCGTAGGCACCACCACACAGCATCACTACGCACCGCCGCCTGAGAAACAACAATATGCGCCGCCGCCCGAACAGCAGCATTACCCACCTCCGGGCCAGGCGCAATCGCCCCCACCGCAAGCGCAACCACAGCAATACCAACAGCAGCCCATGAGCCCAGGCTTCGGTGGATTCCCTGCTGGAAGCCCAAGCGCAAGCCCATACCCGCCTGAGAAGCAAGGACACCCAGGCATGGGACAACCGCAGATGAGCCAACAGAGTATACCACAGCAACCGCAGTTTGTAGGCGCAGGCGCAAATGCAACACCTGCAACAGTAGCTGCAGATGACGTCGGCACATTCAATGGAGGAAGTTTCCGCGTGAGCCACAGGGATACCAACACGATTCTCACTATACAACTGGCAATGGGATGTCCATTTACCGCGAAACCCGGTGAGTTTTACACCAAGCATACCTCTTCTTTGCTCTCATTGCAGTAGAGGAGGGGAACAGAGAAATCTGAAATTACAAGAAGACAATTGCTAATTCCAAATCTTTCCATGACCAGGCGCCATGATCGCAATGTCACCCACCATGACACTAAAAGGCAACGTCAAGTTCTCACTCAAGAAAGCCCTAATTGGCGGCGACATGACAAAATCCACATATACCGGCCCCGGAGAATTGCTCCTGGCTCCTCCTGCCATCGGCGATATTACCATCATCAAGCTTGGTGGGAATGATACGTGGAGTGTGGGACGTGACGCTTTTCTCGCATGCACGCAGGGTATCGTGACGGAGTATAAGAGCCAGGGTATAGGCAAAGCCATGTTCAGCGGCGAAGGGTTCTTCGTGTACAAGATTAGTGGTACGGGAATTCTGTGGTGTACGAGTTTTGGTGCGATTATCAGGAAAGATGTAAGTTCTTTTTCCTTTTTCTTTCCCCCTTCTCACACATCTTTCTCTTGCGCCTTTTTCCACGGAGGAATTATACTGATATGTGTGACTAGCTTGCTGCCAACGAGAAGTATATCATCGATAACGGTCACCTTGTAGCGTGGAACTGCAAGTACGTACTTGAGCGCGTGGCTAGCGGTGGTATCGTGAGTAATTTGGCGTCGGGCGAGGGTCTGGTGTGCAAGTTTACGGGACCAGGTACCGTGTTTATGCAGACGAGGAATGCGACGGCGTTTGCGCAGTTTATGGCGTCTCATGCTGCGGCGTAGTGTTGGAAGAGAGAGAGAGAGAGATGGATTAGGTGGGATGGTGGGGTGCAAGTTGACGTTGACTATTCTTTTATGTAGAAATACCTTTGAGAACGTATGGATTATATCGTTTCAGTATGGTCTTCAGCTGTCTTTCCATTTTCTGGGACTCGTTCTTGAGTCCTGGTTGAAATCAAGTGCGCCGTTGCTTTTCCCCCCTTTCCCCCCCCACCCATCCATTTGTCTAAAATAGCCGTCCGTATTCGAACTAACATATATACTCATGCCCAAAATTAATCAAACGTCGTCTTCTTACCCTGCGACTCGACAATTGCCTGGCTCGCCCTCGGCGCACTCGAATGCGCCGCACCGCTCTTGATTGTTCGCGGATCAACCTTGCGCTTCGACCCACCGCCTCGCTCGTTATTCCCACGGCCTGCTTTACGATCACCGCCTTGATCAAAGTTCCTCCAGCGATCCGGGTTAACGCCATCAACAGCCTTGACGGGCCTATCCTTGCCCCAGCGCTTGTTATAACGTGTCGTCGCATCCTCTGCAAACTCACATCGCAGCTCACGGCCCATGAACTTGCTGATGAACCATTTCCTCTTCTTCTCAGGTTTTGCGTCGTCGTCGTCTTCATCGTCGCTATCGTCCTTTTTGCCCTTCTTTTTGAACTCGGCTGCGTCTTTGAAGACGAAGCCTTTGACGGCCCATGTGGCGGATTCCACGTCGGCAAAGGTGATCCAGGCGTAGCCCTTGCATTTGCCCGAGTCTTCAAAGGTGGCCATATGGATGTCTTCGATGTCGCCGCATTGCGCGTAATGCTCTTGCAGGTCTTCTTTGGTCACGTCGAAGGAGAGATTGCCGATGAAGACGCGCTTGTTGGGTGGGTGACCCGATTTGTCTGCGCCGGCTGCGCGGCGATTGTCCTGGCCTTCTTCTGTCTTTGGCTTGTCTGGCCGTCCCTCGAAGCTCTTTGCGTTCTTGATGAGTAGGGCACGGCCGTCCATTTTAGTTTCTGTCAGGGCAATGGCGGAGTACATTGCTAGTTCTGTGGAGAAGTCGACATATGCGAAGCCCTTGTTCAGAGGCTTAGTTGTCCAGCTCGGGTTGACCTTTGTAGGTGGGGGCATGTGGACGCGGGTTATCTGGTCGCTTGCGATTTCTGAATTCTCGGACAGGAATGTTCGCAATGAATCCTTGGTCGCAGACCACGGCAGGTTTCCAATCCATACACCGTATGCTGATCGCTTGCCGTCTGCATCCTTGGCCCCCTTTGCTTCGCCATCTGTCTTTGTGCCGGCGTCTCCCTCTTCTCCCTCGGCGGCGGGTGTAGGGTTCAGCTTCACTTTCTTCGCTTTGCGGGCGGCTTTCTTGGAGACCGGCTCCGGGAGGTTGACATCGATTTCGAGCTCTTCGGGGAGGATATCTCGTTTGCGCTTCTTCGCTGGCGTCTCTGCTTTTACTGGCGCTTCCTCTTCACTGGCGCTAGCTTCTGCGACCTCATCCTTGGACTCGGACTTGGAGCGCTTCTTCTCCTTCTTTTCCTTTTTGTCTTTTTTCTCCCGGCGCTCCTTGTTGGAAACGGCGACGGCCTCGTCGGAAGAGGTCATGTCGATATCTTTGGACATTGTGGTGTGCTTGATGGTTGGTCTAGCTGCATTGACTTTGAATTTTTTTCTGGGTCCTGCATTTTCGCTTCCTTGCAGCCAGCGCTAGGAGAAGACGGGCTTAGTCATGTTCTGTTGACGCTAAACACCAACATTGGGGCTCTATCGCTATCACTATCGATAACAACTTTGCTTGGCTTGGTTCTTACGACTCGTGCATGTCGTTCTTGTGACCAAGCTTGCACTTGTGCGGTCTTGAGTGGCTCTCGCCGAATGCCAACAAGTTCTGTTGTGGCGCCAATCATAATGAAGCCGTTGCACGACGTGGCGATGCAGGCTGCGTTGTACTCTGCGTAGTGGCAGTTTGAAACACCGCACTGGAAAAGGGCCCCGTACACGTACAACGGCGTTGGCATTCTCACCAGATATGGGCCGGAGCTACTAACCGGCGAAGTGAGGCGAAGATATCGACGGCCGTCTTTCCGGTCTTGCCCATGTTAGTGAAACGCTATCTCAGATGATCAGCTGGTACACCGGGAGGCCATCACGTGCCGTCAAATTGGGTGGCGTCATCGAGGCGAGCAGGAGGAGGGTCTTTGGTCAATTCAGTGGGTGAGGAGACGGCAAGGCAGGGTGAAGGCAATCATCTTCTGGCGACGAGGGTCTCACCGGGGCTGACGACGTATGCTGCAGCCTGGGGGGCGGTCCACAACCACTGGATCGACGCGACCAGTCCAGGTACAGCATACTGCCCGCTGGAGTCGAGGCACTACTCTTCGCCAGAGACATGCACGACATCAACGCTCCTTCAGCTGAGCGGGACGAGTCTCTTGCCCGCGAACCTTTTCTCCTCACCAGAATGGGCAAAAAGAAACGTCGCCCGCCTTTCAGGACGGTGCCAGCCTCCAGTTGGAAAGGGAAGCTTTGGCAGTCCGGTGGCCGGGTCGTGCTCACTTAGCGCGCCCTGGTGCTCAGCACTGACCCCACTCAAGGCAGCTACCATTACACGTCCAGCTGCTCCGCTGCCGTCTCACTTGCTCCACCTCCACCTCCGCCTTTACATCTCCATCACTCTCCCTCAACAGCAACTCTCTCTACACCTGTTGCTGCACTCCTCCCCCATCCGCTCGCAAACAGCGGTGCCCGGCAGACTGCGTTTGCTCTGTCCGCTCCTTTGTGCACTTGCCTTCACCGCCAGCCTTGCTTGCCCATTATGGCGGCGACTAACCCCGTCCCCGTGACGCTCGATACACCCATCGTGGTCAAGGTCCTGTTTCGCGGCCAGACGAAGAAATTCAAGCTGCCTCTAAAGGACCTTGGAGCTCATGTGCTTCCTGACAAGGTCCGTATAGTCCCATGCAGCTTCATGTCCGGCACACGCGGACGGCAACACGGCCCTGGAATGTGGCGGATCACTTGGACATGCGAATACTGACTGCGTGCTCGCTCACAGCTCCGAGCTATCCTCGCACTCCACCAAGACAAGGATGTTCTATTTGAGCGCTACTCCGACTCGGCCGCTGCGTACGTCACCTTGGACGCCGACAAGCCCCAGGTCTACAAGACGCTCTTCCGCGCTGCAAAAGCCAAACTCAAGCTTCGCCTGAGGGTCTCCATTCCTGGCGAGGAGCCAGTGCCTGCGCCCACACCTGCGCCTGCAGCACCTCAAGAGACACCCGCCGAAGCTCATGAAACAAGCTCGGACGATCTTACCCAGGAGAAGGTTATCACCCCGCCCGTTATCGCTCGTTCGCCCGACTCCAAGTCGATTCGCTCAATCAGCTCTGTTTTGTTACCAAAGGCCAACGAGAAAGAGCAAGAGGCTCCAGTGCCTCAGGCTTTCACCACTCGACAGGGTAGGCACCAACCACAAGATTGATCATGAAGCATGTGGCTAACATGGAATCCAGACTTCTTTGGCAACGTCACAGCTGCTGGCAGCAACTCGAGTCTCGCCTTCCGCCCTAAGCCGACGAACGTGTGTACGTCGTGGGTTGTGTACTGCAACAACTGCAATGAGCCCATGGAAGATGAGCACTACCACTGCAGTGTATGCGACGGAGGCGACTATGATCTTTGCCCCGCGTGTGTCACCAATGGCATCCACTGCCCTGGAAACAGCCACTGGATGGTCAAGCGCTTCGTTAAGAATGGCGTTGTTGTTAACAGCACAACCCAGCGCATTGCACCAAAGGCCAAGGCCGAGACTGAAGCCGAGCCCGAAGCCGAGGCCGATGAGCCTCAAGAACAAGAGGTTCCAGGCGCCTTCACCGAGGAAAAGCAGCCTGTTGTGTATGACGAGGAGCCAACTCGCACCTGCAACTGCTGTGTCAAGATCTTGCCAGAGAGGGAGTTTGTCACATGTATCGCTTGCGATGATTATGACCTTTGCCTGCAGTGCCACATCAGCAACAAGCATGGCCACCACCCCGGTCACGCTTTCAAGGCTGCCACTAGCGAGACTGTCCTACCCACCCTCGCCGATTTCCTGTGCAACTCTGGAAGGAATGTCCGCCACTCGGCCGTTTGCGATGGCTGCGACAAGTTCATTTATGGCATTCGCCACAAGTGTCTGAACTGTCCCGATTGGGACTACTGCACCGACTGTGTAAAGAACGCCAGGTTCATTCACCCCCGCCACCGCTTCGTTCCCATTTACGAGCCTTTGGCTGAGCCAATGAGCAGCCCTAACCGCCACTACGGCATCTACTGTGATGGGCCGCTCTGCAAAGACAAGGAAAACCTGTCCTACATTGAAGGCATTCGCTACAAGTGTGCCGTCTGCCACGACACAGACTTTTGCCAGAACTGCGAGGCCCATCCTAGCAACAAGCACAACCACACTCATCCTCTCATCAAGTTCCAGACACCTGTGCGCAGCGTTAGCGTGACAACCGTCAACGATGACAAGGAGGGCAAGTTGCTCTCTCGTCTTGGTGATCGTTTGGCTGCCAGGCGCTCTACCGCCACTGAGACTTCCGTTGCTCCTTCTAGAGCTCCTTCCGTCGCTCCTTCTACCAATGCCGCGACACAAGTCCAAACCATTCTTGATGTGAAGCCAGAAGAGTCTCAGGCTAAGAAGGAGAAGATTACCATCAGTGATCTTCTCGTCGACTCCATCGAGCCAGTCCAGGAGAAGATCGTTGTACCTGCCGAGGAGAAGCCCGTCAAGTCGGAGGCCATTCCGATCCCCCGATCTGAGACCGCTGCGGATGGACTTGATGCCCACTTTATTCGGGATACCATTCTTGATGGCTCCAGGATCTCTGTAGGCGCTACATTCGTCCAGACCTGGACTCTTCGCAACCCAGGACCAAAGGCCTGGCCTGCTGGATGCAGCGTTCGCCATGTTGGAGGCGACAACATGCTCAACATTGACAACAGCCGTCCATTGAGCCACACGGAACTTGCCGAGGCCAGCGAGAGCAACGTCTTGGATGATGCCGTTCAGCCCGGTGAGGAGGCTCAGTTCCGTGTAGTCATGAAGGCACCCCAGCGTGAGGGCACCGCAATCTCATACTGGCGCTTGAAGACTCCTTCAGGCATGCCTTTTGGTCACCGCCTGTGGTGTGATATTGCCGTCATTGCTGCACCAGCACCCGCAGAGCCACAACAGGCTGCCTCCAGGCCTGGTACCGCAACCACTTACGAGGTCGCTCCCAGGTCTAACCCAATGTACGAGCGCCTTATTCAGGCAAGAGCCGAGAGGGAGAGGGTAAAGTACATGCGCCAGACTCACTTGCAGCAACTTGAGCAGAACCACCAACAAAAGATGGAGCAAGTGCAGCGTGTTCGCAAGGCTGCTGTCGAGCGTGTTCTTGAGTTCCGTCGGAAGGAGCATGAGGCTGCCCTCGCTACCATCAAGCAGGAGCCCGTCTCACCAAAGGTCGAGGCTGCCCCTGAAGAGCCAGCTGTAGAGGCGGTTGAAAAGGCGGTTGAAGAACCAGTCGAGGAGCCAGTCGCCGAGCTCCCCAGCCCAGAAAAGACTTCAGAGCCCGAAGCCGGACCTTCGTCGTCTGGCATGATTTTCCCCCAGCTCGACAAGGAGTCGCCTGCGTCAAGCACCTATCAGCCATCTCCTGCTGCTCAGCCCATGTCTCCTCTTTCCGCAAAGAGCACTGTGGCTCGCACTATTACTGTAGCTTCAGATGATGAGTTCTTCGAGGATGCCGAGAGCGTTGCACTCCACTCCGACGACGGCTTCTTGACCGACGAGGAGTATGATATCCTCGACGCTAGCGATCAGGAGATGCCATAAGTAGATCTCGAAGAGGTCACAGGCTGGGCATATTGACAAATGCAAGAGCCCGCAAAATGCTTTAGGCTGGTGTTTCATGGATTTGGGTTCCGGGTGTTCGGCTTATGGGTGGCGTACAATATGGTATTTCAACACACTCTCTAAGCAGAAGGCGCTGGTGTGCCACACGTAACACATTATGCTGTGCGGGCGGCACCAGGTCTCCTGCTGTTTTCCTATCACTTGCGAGAATTTGAACTTTTCCTTACCTCTTTCTTATGTCATGTAAGTGTAGTGGGTAATTCTATTCTCTTAACAAAATGCGTGCATCCAAATATGGAAACAAGTGAGACTAGGTTTGCTCGAACAGCCTTGGTGATGAACTTACAGGTAGCAATAACTACGTCTCTAAGGATTATGCCTGTCCGATAGGTTCTACAGTGTATGTTTGATGTGATACATCGTCACAACATGTGCTCCAAAGAGACTGGCACGGGATTGAGAACCAGGTAAGTTGCTTACAATCTGATGTTTAGCTGACGGATGAAGAACGTACAACTTACACAAGTTCATGACGTAAAAATCTCTGTTATGTACCATAGCATGTTGACATTGCCGACTCCCATAGCATGACTCTCCCGATTGCGAAATGTCAAACTTACCACATTACTCTTCCCGGGTCCCTATCTTTCCCCCCAAAAGTTGCCTGCCACCGTTCACCCATAGTATACCGGCCGGGACTTTACGAGTCAACCGCCTAGAAGACGCACGGTTGGGGGTCCCCGCTCGTGGCGTGTGCGCCCTGAATGCGAGGGATGGAATTGCCCCACTTGAATTACTCGTACATTTCTCCTGCATTTTTGTTTTGTGAGGGGGAGGATGTGGTTGTGGTGCGTGCGGGTTTGCTTTCGGGGGGGGGGGGGAGAGTGTGTGACATGGACGACTTTTCTTGAGACTAGATGCTTCATTTATTGTGCTGTTGGTTGTAGTACTCTTCGATATGGCAAATGAAGTGTACTATGCGATGGGGCTATGATGGAAATACTTTGTAGGAGAGAGATTTCTGGTGGGTTGGGATTTCGTAAATGCTTTTGTTGAATACTACGATTTCAGGGCTTGCAACTACTTTGCGAGATATGGAAGCTTGGAGATTCTGACGGAGATTACGGGCGAATGCAATTTTTATCAGGGTTATGTTGCTTATGCAGTTGAACGTCTTGATCCTTACGACCATTCCGTTGTTTATTGGGTTGGCTGCATGTATGACTGTGAACTGTATATTTCCTCCTGATAATGCAAAGCGATGGGTGTTACGCCTAGATGAGAGGAGTTGTTTTGCTGCAATGTTGATCATAGAATCTTGTGAACGCTGCCCATACATGATTTTCTCAGTAAGCCTTCGACTGAAGTAGGGCCATGCAGTAAGAATAGCGAGAATGTAATATCGGAGCCCGTGAGAATTCTAGAAGTGCGGTTGATCTGGAGATTTACTACGAAAAAAGAGACTGCGCCAACTGTCTGTAGAACCACAGTAGCATGTCTGTATTGACTGAAGTATGCGACCCACCACCTTCCCTCACTTGGTCGAGTACACAACGATCTAATACCAACAAATATTATACTTGACGAAATTGATGCTCCCGCCATGATGGATTACTGTTCATGCTGGCCATTTGGGAAGGCACTCATTACAGCGGGTATGCCGGCGTGGATTGACGAAGACTTCACTGTTTTTGTGCAAATACTGCTTGCATTTCAGGAATATAAATTTACCATCGGTGAGATATATCAGGGAACATGAATTCACCATAGGACAATGGGTTTAGCGCGCTTGCTAAAGCGGATAGAGATGTAAGTTCAACTTGCGCGGGTTTGTCACAGCACTCACTCCCGACAAGACTTTTCAACTATTTCGTTTGCCAAACGTGCTACACCAACTGCCACGTAGAACCATGAGCACGCATCCCATATATGCAGACTACGGCAATGAGGGTAGCCGTGAAGCCAAGATCGCACTTTCTGCTCTTGCGCACACCCTACACATGGACCCGCTGGTACTCAAGATTGCTCTTTCTAATGCTTTCGATATCCTGCACACCACTGGCGGCAATCCAACGCTCGCGCTGCACATAAGCTTCAATCAGTTGAACTACTACATCGACGGCAGCACTCTGGATAGGATCATCGCGGCTTTCTGTGATGCCTTTGCATTCATGCTCAGTGACAAGAAGGGTGAGTGGAACATACCGTGACAACACTTCATACTGATCAAACTTTTCAGATCACACAGCGAACGCGCAGACAGTTCCGATGCCAGACCACGGTCACATTCACACTCCTGCAGCACCACGGTACCGATACATCGCACCAAAGGTTGGCTATAATATCCAAGGGGGATCTATAGGCCATGGTACAGGTTTCAACATGCCCGCTGTGTCTTCAAATAGTGGCGTGAACTTGCCAACATCGGTAGGAGAGTATGAAGAAACCCTGAGCCAGATGGTACAGGGAGGTCATCCTATGAATATCATCAACAAGGAATGGAAATAGGTTTTCTCTGTCTACTAGGCTCAACAACCCTGTTTCGGATAGGTTGTCTTTCATGGATTCCTCAGAGTAAAATGTCTAGGTCTCAAGCTACGTGCGATGCATCACTGGCAATTGAAAGTTCTGGTGTCATGGAACGGAGATTGTGTCAACGGTGCAAGGGTAGAAGAGGTTTATTCAAACTACACCAACAATATCGACTTTGAGCCTCTTGATGAAATTGTGAAATACTTTAGCGTGATATTTGACTGTTGTTCATACTGATCGGCCCTTCCCCCTGCCTCTACTACTAGCGACAATAGTATGAATACATGAGCAACTCGCATCTTTGTATATTTCTTGGTGCGAATCTTCCTGTACAGGACCAGCACCCCATGTGTCGTATATATTTTCTGTCATGGCTTCGAGTAGAGCATTCTGAGTTGCTGGCTTCTCCGTGTCGTAGACAACCTTGAATGTATCCCAATCTCCGCACAAGTGTTGAACTAGTGTCGTGACATCCGCAGAAATCTTTTGCGATTCTTCTGATCCCTATATACTAGTTTTCTGGAGGTAAAAACTACTGTAATGCGTGCCTTTCTCAACCTAGTCGGTAGGCGGCGGGATGTTGTTATCAAACTGATGGCCTCTAGTCCAGTTGCGTTCTACTCCGTCATTACGAAGGATATCACACTAAACGAAGGCTTGGATTAATGCGTTGCCGCTAAGAGGTCCGGAATCGCTCGCATCTGTGTCTGCTTGATGCGAGGATGCTGACATGGTGGGGAGTATGAGGCGGGCGGGTGATAGTCGCGCCTTCTGCTGAAACCTGAGAACGCTTTCTGACAAACGGTGAATAAATAGCGAAAGCAGTCTTGAACTGCAGCTGACTACTCATTGATAGGGTGAAACCGTTTTTGGGTAGTGAATTGGGTATTCACCTTGGTCTGCCTTGATCAGCATTCACTACACGCCGTCGGTGCCTTGATAGAAACGTCATATCTATCTTCTAGCCCTCCATACAAACAATGACCCTAGAGTATATGTATGGCCCACTGCCAACCATGTCTCCCCCTTCAACAATCTCGACAACCAATACAACTGAGTAACTCGATAACCAATATAACCGAGTAACCATGACCGATCAACCCGGTCAAAACGGCAAAGATAAAACATCCCAACGGGGTAGATACATCCGTTTCATGGAGTTGGAGGAGTCGTTGTTTCCCGACAACGAGGGAGACTTCGCCTCCTCCTTCATGAATCCCAGAAGACCGAGAATCCAATCGGATCGGCGTAAGTGCCAAAGATCTAAAATTTGCGATCTTTCAGCTACTAACACTTTCCCTTTAGCTTCTCCCTTCGATCCGAGGAATTCGGAAGAAGCCTATCGTTACGCCGGGAACAGGGTTTGGACTGGAGAAGCAGTCGTATATGCTTCTCCTTTCTGGCTAGAGGAGCTAATGGATTTTAACCCATCACAAAATCCATCCTTCTCACAAACTGGCACGCCAGAAGTGACAGAAAGTACGGGGATCCTGGTAGGATCCCCACAGGCCGGGGACTCGTCGTACTTTGGGAATCCCCAAGGTTCCGGTTCCGGTAAGAATACCAATCGATTGTTGCTCATACCTTCGCTAACATATCTTTGCCCAGTTTCCGGACTCCAAAGTTCCCGTGGGGCGATAACCCCATCGTCTACCAAGAAGCCCCGACGACAAGACAAGGACAAGTTCCAATTCGTCGGGTGGAACGATGAAGCGAAGCGGGCGCTATACCGCCGGAAACGGATATTGAAGAAAGGTTCTTCTTTCTTCCTACACCAATTCCCGGGCGAGACCGAAGTATCGGTGCGAGATGCGTGGGAAAAGTACGGCGAGGAGGGAAAGCGGCTGTACGAAGAGTGGGAGGCTGCGGAAGAAGAGTAAGGCGCGACAGCCACATCTTCGAAAACTTCCGCATAGCCCATCTTCGAAAATGTTTGGCACATATGCCGAGATCCGTACGACAAACAGATCAGGGTTATCGAAGAACTACACAAACCGAGGAACAAAGCCACCAGAATAATCCACCCAGATAATCAAAATTGGGGTGGTATCCTAGGCGGCGTCGACCTGGAGATCCGAAGCGACGTGAAGCATCCGCCCAAGATCCACATTTGGGAGACGGATAGCCACCTTATTTTGCAGTCCGTTCGAGACGCCACTGGTTTTTCTGACGTTTGCAAGATCTACGTCTACCGCAACCAGTGCGAGAAGGCTACACTGCTCCCTATCGGCGTCGAGCAATTGATGGCAGTTCATATAGATGGTTTTGCTGTGCTGTAGAGTGAATATGTAGAAGTAGAGGAAATAAAAATAAAAAACCCGTGAGATACCCTTATGAAAAAGTTCGACATGGGCTTTGAAGCTGGCAGTACATGGACCTTCTTCCTCTGTACATTCTTCTTCGTAGATAGTATGATGATATAGGAACTCAAGGTATTCTCGAAGATGGAAAAAACATTTATGGAAGCGGTGACTGATGTAATGAAATATTGAGAGTGGATATAATCGTGATGCTTGGAATGGTGTTAAGAAAGCGATACGGCAGCGATCGTAGGTTGAATAGGTAAGACGTAACAAGCCGCGGGTGATGTGGTATACAATACCACAGTGCGCTTATATCGAAGCATCTCAACCTTGTGACCTTTTGGTTGCGAATTTGCGGTTACGGTCACTTGGTGATTGCGATTGCGACAATGTACTTGCGAGTGGTGTTGATGTTGTTCCTCGTCATGTGATCTGCTCACATGGAAATCCAGCCAATCGCCGCCGGCGCGTCAGGCTCGGATGCGACCAACACCCGTTGAAGTGTGTCGGATCTGACAACGGTCTATGTAACTCGTGTCGCACACGTGCGACAATGATTTGAGTGGCATCCGGCGTCAACTGCAGTACGATCCCGCCTGGTGGTGGATCTACTTGGTGTCAAGTGTCACGTAGTTTCTGCCCTCCCAACGGTATCAGATGCGAGCCACCCCAAGCAAGTCGCTGTCAGTCGCATCAATCTACATTACACGTACTTCCACACGATCACGGACCATCAATCTATCGAAGAAACATTACTACTCTTCGCCTATAGCTATAGCAGGTTTGGATCTACTAAACAGATAAAGAGAGGTGTTATGCGTTGTTTGATTCGAAACTCGCTTGCACGCTAAATCTGGGTGCACTTCCTTATACGCAACCACCATCTTCAGAATCATTCTTGGCGTCCATGGCGTCGCACCCAAGAACGGACACATGGAAAGCTTGACGAAGATGCTTAGTCTTCGGAAGTCTTGGAATGACTACCCGTAGAAGGTCCAGGAGTCCATATCACAAATAGCTATGAAGCTAAACCGAGCTGCGACGATCGTGCAACGTGGAGAGCGCGCCATCGCCCTATCACACACGAAGCCTTGGTATGCATTGGCGTTTGACACACGGTTTCTACCATGCGTAGTTTTCCAAGCATTCAGGCAATGTTCTAGATACGTTGCATCCTGCGTTTGTCAGTAACGCCCAGGACGATGCCGAGGACGGATGGGGGACGTAAGCATTCTGTTGCTAAGACTCAACGCCTGTCAGTGACAGCACTATGATATAAAAACCTATCTGGAGTTCCCTCATAGCTTGCTTGTGCTTCTACACTCATTTACATTCGGTTACACTCGCTGCCGGACAGTCTCATTTCAAAATCCATTCACTTCGAACAATCCCATTTCAATCAACATGAGGGTCTCTCTGGATTTGATATTCGGACTCGCGCTTTTCTCAACCGTCAATGCTTATGTCATTCCTTCTCGCAATGTTGGAACCGACTACGTGCTTCCTTCCCGGAGAATCGGAGCGGTATGTAAAACACGGCAGAGCGGCTACTACTACAGGCCAATTTAATCTGTCTTTCTTGGATACTTACACCTATACCAGATAAGGGGCATTTCCTCAGCACCTCGCACCAATGCTATCCAGCGTGATGCAGAAGTCAGCCATGGCGTTCACCCCCGCAATCCTCAAGGCCTGATGATCGGAGGTCTTACTCTCGGTGGACCAGGCGGCGGCATTACTGGAGATGGCCTTAACCTCGGTGGCAACGGCAACAAGGGAAATGGCACTGCGATGGCTGAGGGAATGAAGGGCAAAAAGTCAGGGAAAGGGAAAGGGAAAGGGAAGGGAATGAAGGGCGAGAAAGAAATGCCAGCGGGATGCGCCGCTCCGCCCCCTGCTGGAGAGGGAGAGAAGTCAGCACCCGCTGCAGGAGGAGAAACACCCGCTGCAGGAGGAGAAACACCCGCTGCAGGAGGAGAAACACCCGCTGCAGGAGGAGAAACACCCGCTGGTGGAGAAGCACCTGCTGGAGGAGAAGCACCTGCTGAGGGAGAAAAGCCTGCTGAGGGGGGAAAGCCTGCCGGTGGAGAGAAGCCTGCTGAAGGAGAGAAGCCCGCTGGAGGAGAGGCACCTGCTGGAGGAGAGGCGCCCGCTGGTGGAGAGGCGCCCGCTGGCGGTGAAGCACCCGCTGAGGGAGGAAATCCTGCTGGAGGTGAGGCACCCGCTGGAGGAGAGGCACCTGCTGGTGGAGAAAAGCCCGCTGGCGGTGAAGCACCCGCTGAGGGAGGAAAGCCTGCTGGAGCTGAGGCACCCGCTGGTGGGGAAAAGCCTGCAGGAGGAGAAGCATCTGCTGGTGAAGGAGCGTCTGCCGGTGCTAAGGCGGAGTCTGTGGGCGGAAACAAAGCCACTGAAGAGTCCGAACAGTTCTCTGAAGAGTCTGGTATCAGCCTTGGCAAATCTGGCGAAGCTGCAAACCTTGGCGGAAACCTAGGAATCACAAAGGGCTCTGATGGTAGCAGCTCTGTTGGTGGCAAGAACGGTATCAACGTTGCCGCTCGCGGATACTAAGCAACCGTTACAGACAACGACTAGGTGTGGATCATAGAGATGTCTTTGTCCAGCCTCCTGGTTGATACATCTCGCACTTCTCCTGCACATATTCAAGCAGCTGGAACGTCTCCTTCATGTTGTCGAAGCTGGTCATATTTCGCGTTGTTCAGGATTGCTGCCTTCTCTCACCGGGTCAATGGTAGTGTGGTGAGATAGTTTATAGTCCATCACTTGTACATACAAAAGAATGTTATTCGACGCACCTTCAGAGTTTCTTCATGTTTTATTCCCAGGTTGTGCCTCTGCTGGTTTCACACCTCACCGAGATGGTACCCAAGATTGATGTTGTACGCGTGAACGGTGAAAGGGATTACACTGTATAGGCACGGGCCATGAGTCACTTATGAGGTAGCAGCGACCTGAGCCTGCTCCTGGCTTCTACACCTCACAAACCACCTGATATCTACTATCACTTCAGACATCATGATTTTCACAGGTACTAGTGACGGCAAGGATGGTGCCGAGAGCCATCACGAGCTGTGCAAAGAAGCTGTTAAACAACCTGCTCTGACCGAAAAGAGACAATCATCATCCTGGCTTGGAATGAATGAGTTACAGCTTGAGATTCAGCGCTTGACAAGCGACATTGATACGCGCAACGCTTACACCTGGAGTCTCGAGCGGGATCATGCTAAGGCTGCTTCCGTGGTATTGGAGAACGAAGTACTTCGCAAAAAGGTGGATGAGCTCATCAAAAACATGGAGATTAAAGACGCCGAGCTATATACGCTCAAAAATGCTATGGCTAGCTCTGCCGAAACAACTGAAGAGGCAAAACACATGCGCGCCCAGATGGAGGCTTTCGCATACTCCAATAACAAATTGAGAGAAACAATTGCGAAACACACAGCTCAGGCCAACGATGTTACTCGCCTCCAGGCTTCAGTCAGCGACCTGCAGGCGAAGCTCAATGCTGAGGAGGATACCAACAAACGACTCACTACAACACTCTCAGAGAATACGGATACAATCAAAGAAATCACTCGTGTATCCGACGTTCTAAGAGCACAGAACAAAAGTCTTGTGAGCAAGGTCAACGGACTCCAAGAGGATCTAGATTCCACCGAGAAAGCTCGAGATGGGTAAGTTTGCCGCACAATCGTTCCATTGCACCACAGCAATCTCAACATTCTACCAATCACTTGACCAGAAGATCACAACCATTGCTGTCGCCGTCATTGTAGTCAATCTTTTATATGTGTGAGCCTTTTTAGTCTCTTTATTAACATATATGCAGGCACTACAAAAACTACACCCAGACATTGCAACGCTGCAACACACTCCAGCAGGAAACCGCTGCGCTAAAAGAAGAGAAACGAGCTCTCGTCGAGAAACTCAACAATCAATTACACAACCTGGGCGGTTGGGTCACAGATCTGGACCTTATGCAAGAGGAAATTCGCATCTACGTCTGCCCGCATGACGGCTTGAGAACCATCTACCCAGCAACGGCAAAAATCACGCAGATGAAGAAAGCCTGGATGATAGCAAGCGAGATCTGGAAGCTATGTGACAGCGAGAACAAGTTTCTGAAGGCTTATGAGACATCAAGACGAAACATCTTGGAGCATCACCGTGCACACGAGAGGGCGCAGCATAAGAATGGGCATTGTAGGAAGAGGATCAAGGCGGCGTTTGAAGAGCTGGATCAAAAGAGGCAGTTTTGTACCAAGTACAACTGAGGGACTTAATGACATACCGGAGATATGGCTATTGTACCGTGAGCATGTGGGTGGACTGGCGATATAATGTAAAATACTCAAAATGATGCAGATATATCAGTCGCGTAACGCAAGTACGCATACGTACTTGAACTAAGTCAAATCCATAAAACTCTCCACCTCCCCCATATCCCCCCCTAGATATCCCCCATTCTACTCTCCAAAATGGCTTTCAACATGTCTCGCAACAGCCACCTCATCCCCCTCAAAAACCCCACAAACCGGACAAACCGCCGCCTCCCCACCGCCACCTCTACTACTACCCTCATATCGTCTATCCGCCTCCTCCAACGCCGCAAAAAGACCCCCATCAACCTCCCCCCTCCTCGCCTCATCATAGAAATACTCATCATTCTCCCTCACATCCCTCTCCATCCTGCTCCCTGCCATCCTGGCCCCTCTCCCACTACCTCTCACCTCCCCATCGCGCCCTAACCCCGCATCCGCCCCTCCAACAAGCGCCTCGCCCCTCTCCCCCTCAGCCTCACTCGCAAGACTCTGCACGCGGCCCACACGGCCATCCCGCAGACGCACTTTAACGCCTCGCGGATGGTCGCCGCGTGTTAGGATGTCAGCGACGATACCCGAGACGCGGTGGCCGGTGGGCTGGTCTTGTTTGAGGATTAGGGAGACGGGGGTGCCGGGGTGGATGGAGGCGTAGGGGGGCACGGGTGTGTATGCCGGGGAGGGGCGGGAGCCTCTGGGGTTGTCGGATTGACCTCTTCCCCGGCCCCGGCCTCGGACTTGTCCTCTGCTGCCGCGCGAGGAGGAGTCGCCTCGGGGTTGGCGGTTGGGATGGCCTCTTCGTCCTGTTTGCATGGCTCTTTGGATCGCTTTGTGGATGGTGTGTGGGACGTTGTTTTGAGAAAATTATAGATGGATCGAAAAGTCGTCCCAGAATTAAAATGGTCGGTTTCTTTTGTTTCCTCCTCCTCTTCTTCCTCAAATAATTTAAATAGTCGTTCCTTAGCGTGTGCTCAATTTCATGTCTTTCTGTCGCTCGTTTCGCATGAAAAAGCCGAATAGATACTTGTAGCAGTAGTGTAGGCGCTATCTTAGATTATTATTAGAAAATTGCCTAACACTTCCTCAAAAGTGACTGGAAAATAGGAATGTTTGCTTGAAAGAGCCTCAATGGCAAGACGTCAAGGATAAACGAAGTCGTTTTGAACATTCCAAGACTAGCGTTAATTACGTCATTTAGTGATTTCTCCTTTGTAGAAATGATATCTGCCAAAACATATCAGCAAGTACTTTATCCGCACTTGATGTCTTCAAGTTCCTTCTCACAGTGACGATTTGGATGTCTCAGAATCATAGCAGCAGTGGGGTTCAAAACAATAAACTTATCTTCAGCTGAATTTTTCGCTATGTAGGACCTTATCCTGGGATCTGTCAAAGAACCCTCCAAAAATATGTGGAAAAAACCATCTAGTCGCAAACGAAAGACGCCAGGCAATGCAACGAACGCAACAGCCCCAAATACAGGAGAAGCGACACCAAGCGACCGTTGTACGAACCTAGCGCTTGCGCAACTTCTGTACCCAACGCCATGTATGAGAGATCTGTCAGAAATGTGTCGTGCCAAAGGGGTATACACATGAATCAAAGGTCGTCTTGGTGCGTCCCAAAACATATTTGGGGTATCCAAGAACAACGAGTATTTCTCGGTCTTTAGAAAGGGAAACCACCGGGTGGTCCCCTGCTTCGGCCGCCACCAGGCATGCCGCCCATGCCACCAAAAGGACTGCCACCGCCGGAGCTGAAGTGGAAGCCTCCTCCACCGCCTCGGCCGCCTCCCATACCTCCTCCCATGCCGCCAAACATTTGCATGACTGTGGCTGATGTTAGCTCCGTTTCATTTAATGAATGTCATAGCGTTACTTACGAATTTCTGGATCGATACCACCACCCATGCCTCCTCCCATGCCACCGCCACCAAACATGTCGTTGGGGTCAACAAGGTCGGCGCCGGAATCGTATCTCTCACGCTTCTGCGGGTCGCTCAGGGTCTCGTGTGCTTCTTGAATTTCCTTGAACCTGTCTGCAGCATCGGCATCATCAGGGTTCTTGTCGGGGTGGTGGATGATGGCCAACTTTCGGTAGGCCTTCTTGACTTCAGTCTCAGTTGCGTCTTTTTGGATACCGAGAATCTTGTAGTAGTCTTTCCTCTTGCTCTTCTTGAGCTCCATCTCTGCATCGCGAATCTCTTTGGCAATGCCCGGCTCCGACGGGTTTTCTTCGGCGATAGCCTTGAGATCGCGCAACGCCTCCTCCCAGTTTCCGCTCTCACCCAAAGCCTTCGCCTTGGTCTTCCGTGCCTTTGTGTAGCCTGGATCCAATTCAAGTGCTTTCTCGCAGTCGGCGATTGCCTGCCTCCAGCTCTTTTGCCGAGTGTGGCAGAGGGCTCGGTTCTGCAGAATTTTTGAGTTCGTGTTCTTGTTTGCAGGGTCAACTTGGAGCGCTTGTGAATAGATATCAATGGCCTCCTGATATCTGCCAGACTTGAATGCAGCGTTGCCTTCTGACTTCATGCGATCCAACTTTTGCACCATCCGCAGGTACTTGACTGCAGCCTTGAAGTCAGGATCGCAGTTCAGTGCCTGTCGAAAATGCTGCAATGCCTTTTCATTCTCACCCTGCGCGTAGAGAATACGGCCACGAAGCACCAGGGCATCTGGGTCTTGGTTGTTGTATCGTAGCAGAGACATGACAACGTTCTGTGCCTCTCCCAGCGCATTAGGGTTGTTCATCCGCAAGTGTGCTTCTCCCCGCATCAGCTGCCACTTTCTTGGTTTGTCCACGCCAGCACCGAGGCCTTTCTCAGCCTCGTTGAGAGCATATATAACCATGGAACCTGAGCCTTCGTTCCGTGAAGTCTCCTCTGCCATGCGTAGATGCTTCTGCATGGTCAGCGCAGGCTGTTTGTCCTTGGTAGAGGCACCAATCGAATCGTACACCTGCAGAGCCTCATCTGGCCGGCCCAAGCTGGTGTACACTCGACCTAGTCGCAGCAGAATCTTCATGTTGTTGGGGTCGAGCTCGTCTGCCATCTTGCAGTCCTCCATGGCCTCGTAGAAGCGGTTCGCAGAAATGTAGGCGGCAGCGCGGTTGGAATAATAGGTAGCATTCTTGGGGTCGGCCTCGATGGCTGTGGACTAGTTAGTCTAGGAGTCTACTTGGTGTATTGTGGCACAAGGCTGCGGGTGCCGGCAGTGCTACGGGCAAAGCGAGTATTGCCAGTGTAACAACGCACCTTTGGAGTATTCTTCGATTGCCCTGGGGTAGTCTTTGATCTTGAAGAACTTGTTGCCCGCGGCCTTGTACTCCTCAGCATCGATTGTCGGTGGCTGAGCGGGTGGTGTGGCGGCCTCAGGGGTGGCTGCATAGTTGGCGGTGGGTGGCGGCGGGCTCTTTGTATATCTGTGTGGTGGGGGAGCCGGCCCATCAGGTACACCGTTGGTGCCATTTGTCTTTGGGGCGTCTACCGCGGGGCTCTGGGGTGCGGGAGAGGACGAGTGTTCCCTGTCCAGGTCCATGGGCTGGGGCGTGGGCTGGTCCATGGCAGCGGACATTTGGACAGAGAGACGCTGACGCTCCTCAGGCGGCAGATTCAGCGGGTGCGAGTCACGGTCGTATTTGGACGAACGCTTCGACGAGTAGGAACTGGAGCGGCGGGAGGAGCGTTCCCTGTCCTTGACCTTTGAATGTGACTGCTTGTCGGGTGAAGCGGGAGGGATGTCGGAGCTGGACTGCTGTGTGGGCCTGTATTTTTTTGACGATTTAGCAAAGAGAGAGGGAAGAACCATGGAGGCGAAGTGCGGGCGAGTAGCGGCCTGGTGAATGACTGGGTCGCTGGAATTTCAGTCGAGCGATGTTTGGAGAATCCAGGGTCGATGAAAATTGGAGCTGGGATTTGGCTCGTCCCGTTGCTAGAACGTTCCATTATCAGCGAGGATAATCCCGCTAGCACCGCTGCCACACTATCAAGCCGCGGCGGACGTGCATGGGAAGGCTGGGGCGCGGGTCCCTCGGGCGGAGAGCCAATCCTCTGGGATATCCGTACTGTCGCAGCTTTTTTTTTATTTTTATTTTGATATGTGCACATTCGGACAGCAAAGGAAACACATGGCCTTGTCTGCTGTATTTTCATGCCGACACACAGTAGGTAAGATGGAAAGAACACAAGGAGCCCGCGTGCCTCTGATTCTGGTCTTTCAGCTACCTTTGACGCTACCTTGCACGACAAAGCCATGGCCAAACGTTGTCGCGGCGAAACGAGACCAGTCCCTGAGGCAACGCAATCTGCGATGAGCGAGGCTGGGGTGCGCACTGTCAACAGATCGCCAACACCGTGCACTTGGGGTGCGTGAGTTCGTCCACTCCTAACGCTCGCAACCCACCCCTTTGCATTGGCATGATGCGCTGGCTTTTTTGACAACCAGCCTACTCGTTTGTGTGCCAATGCTAAACGCTGCTTGCTTGCATTTGCGCTGCTGGTGGCTAGATGGCAACGAGAGAGGGCTGGGCGGCGCGTCGGGCAATCCTGTCGAGATAAACTTTGTTCTATGCGTTGCTGGGTCCAGATGAAGGCGCGGAGTAGAAAAATGCTGGGCGTGGATGCTCCATAGCCTCACGCGTCAGCAGACTGGGTGGTAAGATGTGTCTGGCTCCATGGCCATTCCTATTGGCTGGTGCATTGACTGGTTCGCACAGTGGACCCCGCTCCGCCCCGAGCATACTTCACCACCGCCAACTCAGAGAGAGTATGTGTTGTTTAAACCGTGGTTAGTGTATTCGGTACAAAACCCAAGCATGCCTCAGTAACAGCAATAATCACTTTCTACATACTACTAGTTCAACTTCCCGTGTTGCTCACGCTAACCTCCGCCTCGCCTCTTTCGTCATTCTGCGCCATCATCCCGCTCTCTTCCACGCACGTGCCATTAGGTACCAGCATCCCGGCTTCACTTTCCAGCATACCCAGCCAAGGCTTCTACTTACTCCACATCTCAAGAGAGCACACGCTCTTTGGCGCGATCCCGGGTGCCACCGTCTTCAGCGCCCCAAACGCCCCCAAAGCCCGGATCCGCACCAGCACCGTCGCCTCGGCCCTCGCCTCTAAACCCGGTCCAGCAGCACGTATGACAGGCGGCGACCAGCGCCCAGTGGCCACTTCTGACCTTCGTCGACGTCTTTCCAGACCACGCAAACACCATCCAGCTTCGACTGGCGAATCCGATCGTCTCGTCATCACCATGGGTCTTTCGTACAACATCTACCTCAACTCGTCGCGCATCTACGGTTGTAAGAACTGCAAGACGCACCTCTCCAACCACGATGACATCCTCAGCAGGGTTAGTGTGCCCCGATGCCTTGGGCTGATATCGAAAAAAAAATGCTAATAGGTCGCTCGCAGAACTTCCGTGGCCAACATGGCAAGGCTTACCTGTTCGACAGCGTTGTCAACGTGACCGAGTCTGACCCCAACGAGCGCAACATGACTACCGGACGTCATATAGTCCGTGACATTCACTGCCGCCAGTGCAAGGAGACGGTCGGCTGGAAGTACGACAAGGCGTACGAGGCCAGTGAGAAGTACAAGGAGGGCAAATTCATCCTCGAGGCGGAGCTCTTATGCACCGTCACTTGAAGAGGCTACACTACACACGGGGCTTGGCGTCTTGGGTGGGCATTTGCGGAGTTTTGGATTGGATACGGGCAACATGACTGGGTTTATACAGACGGTGGTTTGTTTGCATTTCGGTTTTATTTTATTTTTTTAGCTCTGGCTGGCCGTTGCAGGCCGGTCCTAAGTA